ATTAAGGTAAAAGATCCCAAACAACAGCATTCATGGAAGGCTTAACTGTGATCTAAGCGTCTGTAATGGGCAATGAAAAGAGACAATTAAAAAAATTGATTTTCAGGCTATGAAATAGGATGCAAATGGTGGGGGAGACAAAAAGAAAAAGATTAAAAAGGCATTAGGTTGAGAAATATGCAGCACCGCACATTTCTCATGCTGTAACACAGAGCAGCGAGAAATCGAGACACACCGATGGGCGTTTTCACATCACCCCCTCCTGGGCAGGGCCTGACCCTAGTCAGGAAGGTTCAGAGCCTGAGAGATCAGTCGAAGATCCCTATGGCACTGGCTGATTTGGACAGTATTCAAGGAGCTGTTTCGTACTGAGGAGTTCAGAAGGCTGTGCCAGCCAGTATTTAAAACTGGACCTTTGGTTGTCAGAGATATGCTTTTGTCTTTGGTTGTTTTTCTGGAACCCATATCATTTTTTTAAAGTGCCCTCCTCTTCCCTCGCTCCAATCTTTTCTGTTGTAAACTTGTTTTTTCTCCTACGAGAACAATCAGCTAACAATCCACTGAACAACATGATTGGGTACAAGTTCCGTCCCAAGTGTAATCAGTATAAGACTATTTTGAGAGTAAACTTGAAATTTCTTTTTATTATGGAGCTCCCAGTAATTCTTTCCTTGGAGGGAAGAAATCAGGAAACCTCAATAACACAACAGAGGCAACCCAGAAGAAAGGGAACTTTCCCTCTGAAAATCAAAACGAGTAGAAACAAGAGACTGGGAAGTTCTGAGCAGAGGATGGGGGAACACGGAGGACGAGGAAAAGTTTTCCTAGTAGTCTGTGCCTCAAATCATGACCCCCAAGGTTGCCCTATCATCGCCTCACTCTTGTGAGATATTTTTTGATACAACTTATAAGGAGAAATCCTGGCCTTCCCAACTCGTGGCAAACCAAGAGAATGTTTATCTACTTGAGTCAGGAGGAAAGGAGGAATGGCTCCTGAAATGTTGTTTTACCTCTGTCCTATTAATCCCTTAAGTTTTATTTTTTAATGCTGACTTTTCCTCATATGGACTGATTTATCCCATATTCCTTTTAAAGTAACTCAAATTATTTTCCTAGCCTGCAGGATCAGACTCATCTGTGAAGGTTAAGGCATTCCTTATTAAGTCACACACTTCCATGCTAAAAAGAAGTGGAGGGTATCATTTAGCAAATGTACATACTTACTGACTCTTTTCCTTCTCTTATATGGGAATTTCCATCTGCAGCTTCTTCATTTACAATTGTGCAGGGTTCATTTAAACTCTTCTGGGATTGTGAGGTAAGGTAGGGAGATGACTTTTCCCCTTTCTTCACCAGCCAGGTATGAAATTTTCATTGTTTTCTTCGGCTTGAAAATGCAGTTAATGGTTTGCTATCTGACGATAACTCACAATCCACCGATACCAAATCTTAGAAGAACTTCAAATTTCTTTATGGATTTTTGCCTGTATTTTCCCAAGGGGTCATAGTACCTTCCAGATAGATGCCAACAGCCTTACTTAACAATAAGGACGGCCATGAAGAAATCCACCTTTTTCTCTAAAAAAAGATTGGGTAGAGGCGGGGAGTGGAAACACAGTCTCAGTGGATCAGGGTCCCAGCCTGCTCCAGCAGGTGATTGGACACATCTAAGCAAAATCACCTCCCTGCCTTCTACAGGGAGGACAAAACAACTATGATATCTCTCTCCCTACTAACATCTACTACTTCTGCTTTCTACCAGTTTACTTTGGATAAACTGAAGACTGTGGACTTGGCTAAACTGATCATCTCCAGTGATTCTTGATCATGATGACTGGTAAAGTTTTAAAACAAAGACCTACAAAGTGTGTCACTTATGTCGGAACTGAGCTAAATACAAAGACTCAAATTTTCTGGTAGCTGGATAATTCACTTACTGGATTTTCTTGTCTATCAGATATTACTGGATACTTTGCCAAGATTACCCCAGGACACATCCTAAGGGAAAGTAATCTCTCTTGAAGATTCATGATTCACCATCTTAATATTTTATTCCCAAATCTGACACTAAATCCTCTGACTTCCAGGCCAAAAGGACTCCAGGCCAAAAGTATCAATAGCTGTCTGATCATTACTTCGTTTCAAAACACAGGCTCAAACCAACTTTACAGCAGTCTTTTAACTTAGCTCAGTGGACCCTGAGAGGATCATAGGGTGAAAAGTGCAACTCTAGGACCCAGAAATTCTGATAGCATTTTATTTAGTTTTTCTTTTAGCATTTTAATGTACACAGGTAAACCATGGGAATTAGAGAGTTAGTCCACTCCATTAAGCTTCTCAGAAGGGCCTGTGGTTCCCTCAAAGGATAAAGAACTTGCTTTTGAATATAAAATATTAAATGGAGGTCTTAGCAAATTAAAAGTGAAAAAATTCCAAAAAATTTGGAAATTACAATATTTTCATGTTCAGCTAAACATGACAAAACCATGAGTAAACTAATTATTCCAAATTATTTCAAACTCACTAGTACGGTACGTTTCTTTTTCTTTTCTTTCTTTTTTTGGTGTGTTTAAATTTTCAGGAAAAAATTTAAATTGTAAAACTAAAATTTCAAAACTGAATAAAATGTTGATCCCTAAGAATTTCATATTTTTTTCAGGGATTTATTAGTGAATTCCTTTAGAAAATATCAAACTTGAATTCTATTGATGTAATTTACAAAAGTGATGACTATTCATGCAATATTGAGTCTAAAATATTATTTGTCGCATTTTACACATATAAAAATTAAAGTGATGGGGATGAAGAAAGGATGTTAGAGTGTTATTTCCCATTAAAAATGTTTTCCACAGGAATTCCCAAGTTTAAAACTTTGCATTGGAGTTTTCTCTTTGAAAGATATTTTGAACAATTTTAACCTTGGATTAAAATTTTTTCCTTTAAAGCTAAAAGGAGTTTGGCTCAAATTTATAAAAGTTGAGTAAGGAAAAATGTTTTATTGTTAAAGTTTATAAATGTAGGTAATGTGGTTATCTTTTCTGTTTTGATTTTTAAAGTTTTAGAGCTTAGGATTTTCTCTTGGCACATTCAAAGGTGCTGCTTTTTCAAAATGCAGGCCATGTGCCATTAGACAGAGATGCGCTAATTCTCAAAGAAGTCACTGTACATGAACAGTGCCTGCTTTTCAAAAGAGCGAACATGCATTCTTTTGTACACAAAGATATATGAATATGTACTTCAAGCAAAGGCATTCTATGTTGTGAATATATAATACACAAGTCTCTGCTTTATGCATTTACTTATGAACCAACAATTCCTCAATATATATTCACAGATCACACTCAACAACTCGAGGCAAGCCACTATAATGCATTCCTATCTGTCAGATGGGATATGTGGAAAGAATGAAGAAATTAACTGTGGCAGGTGCAGTGATAAGCCTCCAGGCTTGGAGGATTTTTTAAAATATAGCAAAAAAAGCAACAGAGAACTTACTTATTGAAAGGTGAAAGCTTAAAGATGTTTCTAAAGGAAACTTCTCAGAGGCTATGAAAGACTAGAAATTTGTATTGGAAACTTGAAGTATTCAGATGAAATTAGTGACCAAAAATAAAACAAAATGAGCATGTAACCTTAACTGGCAGCTCTTGCTTTAGAACTGATCCCAGCATGACACTTCGCAGGTAGGGAACATCCTGAAAAAATTGATTTTATTAGTAGTGGTTCTAATAGGGAGAAATGGTCGAAGCCCTGCAGATACTGCTAATATGGTCTCACAAATGTTTGGTGCCTGAAACTGGCAGCTGTTTTGAGAACAGAGTGGTAGAAATTACGACCTTGCTTTACACAGATTAGGATGAAGTGCAGTCTCACAAAATCCTGAAACTGTCCCAGGAAAGCAAGGAAACCCTTGGCAGATTACCAATTTTCAGTGATATTGAGACTGAGATTCAACAGCCTAATGCCCATTTTGGCGGGAGGTGGGGGGAAGGTGGGGAAAATAAGAGTAAGGGAACATGTCTATGAAGAAAAACTTACTTCTAGCACATTCTTTAAAGAAATTCGGTGTCTTCTCTTTAATTATTCTGGGAAGTTTGGGGACCAACACATAGTTAAGCTACTGAAATTATAGTAACTTAAGAATTACGCTAAAGTATAGGATAAAAACCCTACCTTAAACATTAAACAAAGTATTAAATAGGTTAGAGGAACACCATGCTTGAAGTTCTTATTTATGCGGGATTATACAATCTCAGTGCCCTAGCTAAATTTCTAATTTTTTAAACTGCTGTTGCACTGGTATGCCTCCCAGAGAAGATAGGTCTCTTGGATGTATACTGAAATATCCATTTTCCCCTTCTATATTATATTATGTCAGAGTTTACTCTTGTGACAGGCGCCTAGAAAGTCTAGACTATGCACCAGAGAATTAGCCAACGGCTGACACCATGATGCACTTAGATAAGAGTGATACCACTTACAACAGAGGACGCTAACCAGAACTCTAGAGATAATGAGTCCTGATTGCAATTCTGAAGATCCCCTACCTCCAGAAAAATGTTGCTGTTGTTGCTGTTTTTAAATCACGAAACAAGATCAATTGTTTATAAAATTATTCAGGCAACCACATTTCACAGGTAATTTTTGTCCTTCATCTGTTCGTCTCACTTGGGCAGAAGATGAAGGAGGTGAGCAAACAGCGATAAGGCAGCCCATAGCTTGCTGAAGAATGACTTGCAATGGATGGAAGAGGCAGAAAGAGCACTCGAATATAACCTCGAGCCATCGAAACAGTGCTGAGAAACTGTGATGTTTCATAAAATCAAGAAAGGAAGCTCATGAGAGTGGAGATTCTACATATCAAAATATCGCTGTGTGCCTGTGCATTTTTGCATATATCTACCTATACGGCACACAGATTTACTTAGGGAAAACGGCCTGGCAGTTAATCTGGAACTTAAATGACAGGTTACACATAGATCATAATTTCTAAACACAAGTTAGTAAAACAAAATTTATTTGTAAAACAGGACCTGTTATATAAAATGGCACACAGTCAAGTTATACAAAAATACAAAATTTCTTTCTGATTACAGTTCTAGTTGCAAATGATAATTAGAAAGCATTCCTGGTGGCTTCCAAATAGCTGAGATTGCGAGCAAATGGGACAGGGAGCAGCCAGGAGTCCATGATGTTGGGTGTCCAAGTGAGCAGAACCTACTTTCCAAATTCAAGACTTCCATCAGGTCCCTTGGGAGGGACAATTCCTAAAATAGCTAGCTCCTGGAATGTCTTCTGTTTGATACCCATCTTCCAGAGTTTTGTCAATCCTAAATTTAATTCCCAGCGTGTTCTTAATGTCCAAAACATACACGACTACTAACAGAAGGTATTCTTAATTGTCTTCCATGATTTGCTCTCTCATCTATTTGGATAACTGTTAGTTACATAATCATATTTATTCATTTTCAAAGGATTTTATAAAAGAGTATCATGACACTGTCTGGTGATATTAGATGTTAGAGGGTTAATCATTCTGGAGAATTATTGTTGGAGAAAAACTACTCTCACAATGTCGATTTCCCAGATTTTGTCCAGACATGAACTCTTATGGTTTTTTTTTTGAAAAGCCAGATTCTTATTGCAAATATTCTGAAAAATCAGAAATATTACATGAGCTTTGAAAGGAAACCAAGGTGTTCAGCAAATTTTAACCTAGCTAGATAAAAGACACGGATACTTTCAAAAAAAAAGTACAATTTACATTTTGCAGCAATTTAAAGGTTCAACCCTTTGAAAGGAAGCACATTAGCCAATGGCTGCGAGTCAAGCTAAAGCCCTATGACATTAACTGGATGAATTTTTATAACACCGGTCTCATTCACTGTCTCGTTCTAGTAGGAGGCAATGCTTTCTTTCAAAAGATTCTCCTTCCATGGAATGATAAAATGCTGAGGCTTTTTTTTTGTACAGAGCCTGTATTTAGTGCAATAAGTTTAAAAAATTTGCTCTGAAATATTTACTTTACATTAACAAAAATAGCTTTTTTTAAAAAAATTGTAACAAAAAGGAGTTATCGCATAAACAGATCATGAATTATTCTTAGCAAATTACACTTTTTTTTTCCTTAAAGCATTCACCATTACAATAAGCAGAACAATGGAATATTAGCCATTCATATCTGGTAAGCTTCAAGAATAAAAAACGAAACAAACCCCAAACCCATCCCCAAACAAAAAGAACATTCAACACTTGAGGATCAAGACATTAACCAATTCTTCAGCTAAATATTGTAGGATTCTGGACACTCAATGAATTGCAAGGAGAGGAGCACCTGCTAGTGTATTTTCAGATTTTATAGCAAGCATTGGAATAAAATGGCCAGTTAGCTCTAAGTCACTGAAATTCCTCAGAAGCAAAAGCCCAAGCACCGAATTTGCAAGGCTTTTGTTCATGTTTCCCTCCCTTCTTTTTTTCTCCCAGCATTATTTAAACTGCAAATCAATACACAAAAACTTAAAGGCTACATCTTGCTGGTGGTCCCAGCTTCCTTTCAACTCAGGCACACCAATGTGTGGAGTCTGTTACTAACGTCTAAATTAAAAGACAAAAATATAAGAAAAGTTTGCATAAGAAAGATGATCTACCCTTTCTTTTCTTACGGACTCTCTTATAGAAGCTTTAGGGTAAATTACAAATACCTGAGGAGTTGGCTACTTTTTAATGTTGGCTGACAAATGCATGATTATGAAAATACCCATACTGGGTCTGCTTATAAGTTCCTAAAAGTAAAATGACATGGCTGTTTTTGATTGGGGAGAAGTGATTGGAGTGATTCCTTATTTTTCTGAAAGCATATGCCTAGTCTTTTCTACTAGGACTGATGCGTCAGTTAAATAAGCTCTTGATTTTATGCACACACCAGGGTAATCACCCCTGAAAATGTTAGACAGAGCATTCAGTACAATAATTTTACCTAATTTAAATAACTAAAGTTAAAATTTTCTCTGTTATTAAAAATGTTAATCAGATATGAATCTTAACATTTCCATTAAGACAATTACAATTGAAAACATTAAGTGACGGCAGTTGCCTTGTAAAAGCCACCCGTATGAAAGGAGTACATGTTTGACAAAAATAAGCATAAAAAAGGTATTAAATCCCTGTTCCTTTCTCTGATTTTGGCTGATTATGTGTGTGTGTATATATATATATATATACGCACAAATATATATATATACACACATACATATACATATATACACACACCCACACACATCAATACATAGTTATGTGTATATATTGTTTTGGAATGTCAATGGGTTCCGTAACGGTCGGCTACGTTCAAGCAGAACTTGTTCCCGAAGCCTAGAAAACAAAGTCATACAGAGTATAATCTTAGACATTTACCATTAAAAGGAGAGCATGAATAATGTTACAAATATACAGATGGTCACAATAACAACAAAGCAAAATGGTGTTAGCTTTCCTGAACCTATATTCCAGTAGCTAGAAATCCTATGAATGCTGAAAGGGACACTTCTTCCCGAACATCTGCCGAATCGGCAGAGAGTACTTCCTGCGTTATTAGAGTACCCACATCTCCCCATCTCCTTTCTCTAAAGTTCCTCCTTGTACAACAGCAAGAAGATGGGTAGAAAGTCTCACTTAAACTCCTTGATAAACACATTTATCTTGATGAACATATATAATTTTTAAAGATTTAGAGTAAGACCTCACAAAATTTAGCTTCCCTTAACTTTGAGATTATTTTTTAATAAGAAGGAAAAAACCCACAACTGTGGGATCAGAGACGGAGCTCAGCAGTATTTCAGCTGCCTTACATGGGTGAGGCCCTAGGTTTCATTCCAGATAGTAAGGTCAAGAAAAAAAGTACAAAGAACACCGAAGAGGAAAACTGGAAAAAGAGGAAATAAATACTTCTGATTTATTTAACAATCCCTTGCAAAAAGAAATTTAAAACCTCATGTTCCTAAATACTATTTTATAGGTTAAAATATATAAATTCTAAATCAAAATACATCATAGAGAAGAAGATAGATAATGAACTCAAAGAGCAGTGTGTCTCTAGATATGGAAAAACAGGGGTGATGCTCACTCACAGAACTTTAATCTAAGTGAAGAACATGTGAATTAGACCAAGAAATGACAAATAAGTGATCCTAAATGCTACCAATTTCCAATTTTACTAAAGAAAAACTTCAGTAGAGATATTCTCTAGGGACACATACAAGATGATGGTGGTACTTAGGGTCCCCTCGTATGCAGACTGAGAAAGAAGGATTGATGAGCTCTAATTATCCTGTGAGAAACAGCTCCTAGGAGGTATTTTTTTTTTGTTTTAGACCATTTAAAACATCATTCTTAGGGATCCAATGCTGTGATGTATGTCCAAAGAACCAGAGCAATGTATTTGATATGAAACATGAAAGATATTTTAGGGACACAGCTAAGATTTTCCCCATTAATCTGCAAGCAATGAACTGATGAATGACCTAAAATAAAAGCATCTGAATGAAATTTTAATGTATTGTTAGAGAGGGAAGGGACATTAATTTTAAATGAAAGTAATATTAGGGGGAAAATGACAGATTTTTAATAGAATCTATCTGTCTTTTGATAAAATGTCACAAGACCTGAGAAAATCTCCTAGTGGTATTACCTGTGAATTAGAGATGTACATTTAAGAGAAGGCACACTTGCATTACGGTCTACTGCAATTCACTTAACTTTCACTAAATAACACAGAAATACATACCAGGTAATGGTCTAACCAGCTAATCTTAAGCCTCTAAACATTTCAGCTTTGCTTCGGCTGTTTACTTGTGAATAATAATTTAATGGAAGCTTCCATTACTAAATACATGAAAAAGAGGAGAAAAGGTAGTTTAAAATAACAAGCAGAGAGGCTGGTTAATGGTTTAATATTTTATGCTTCTTATAATGTACTTTAGGCCTGGAAGTTTATTTCCTAAACAACTAGAACCACAAAGCTGTGGCAGAAGGGACACCTTTCTTCCTTTTCCCTGTCACCATGAGTTTGGCGGTTCCTCACTGTTGTCCTTCTCAGTAAGAGATACACAGAGCGGGTGGGTGGGAAAGGGAGGAACCTGATGGACAGATGGCTGATAGGCGCCCCTTCTCCATCCAATCAATCTAGCTCTGGCTGATCACAATTAAAATTAAGAGCTGTCTGGACACTCCTGCACTTGGGTAGTCTGTGCTTTCGGAATCTATCACTTAAGTTTTGACTTAAATTTATCTTGTAGGGGATTTTTTTGGCCACACCCAGCAGTGTGTGGGGCTACTCCTGGTTTGGAGGTTGCTCTGAGAGGTGCTCGAGGTACCATGTGGGGCAGAGATCAAACCGGGCTTAGTTGCATTTACAAGGAAGGCAAGAGTCTTAATCCCTATATTACCTTTCTGACCCCAAGTTTTAGCTTTATAATCAATAATGCTATTAAGAACAACACCAAAGCAGTTACTGATTCTAGTAACTACTGGAAAAAGAAGTTACAGAGGAAAGAGAATACTTCAAAAAAATTGGTCATGGCCCTAATTTTAGTTGACTATGAATCTTTCTCCTCTCTTTAAAGGAACTCATTCTTTTCCACTCTTAAGATACTTAAATGGGCTTGCTTTGTACTATATATTTATTAAGTCAAAGAGCCTTAAATCGAACAGTTTACTAAATATGAAAGAAGGTGAGTCCTTACCTTACACGTTTGAATATTATATGCAATCAAATGGCACATTTAAAATGAACCGTTTAAGGATTAGGCATTTATATAGAATTTTGAAAGAAGCAATCTATTTAAGAAATAAAACATTGTAAACTAAGGCAGTAATATATTTTACAGATACATTCTAGAGATAGCTATCACTATGTAGCAATGAGAATATGTATGGGAAAAGAAATTCAGGATTTTCTTAAGCAATTCCTACCCTAATTAACACTTAGTTCCATTTTTTCATGTCAAAGTGGAGTGCAGGTACATAAGCAAACTAAGCCGAAGCTGGAGGTTAGGTTGTTCTTAATGAATGGAATGTGGGTGTTGATGGAAATAGCCTTGTTTACTACGAAAAAAAGTTTGAACAAAGAAAGTACAATTCATGCAGCAGAGAAAAAAGTCAATGAATGGGGGGTGGGGAAGACAGCAACATCAACCAATATTTAAGAGGGGGAAATATAAATTTTAGTAAGTTGAAAGGAACGGTTATTATCCCCTGCTCAGAGGGATTAAAAACCAGACTGTCAGTTTGAGCGTACAGTCTGATGGAAACGAAATACTGACAGTTAAAAAGGAAACAATTGGGAGAATTTCCCTCTGGGGACAGAGACAGCCTCGAGTCTGCAGACGCATGGAGGAAGACTCAGTTCCTTTCAGCGTACTTTTACAGAAGGTGGTCTCAGTTGTGACAAGAACTCTGCCGTCCAAGTGATGGGCAAACATAACAGAAAGAGCAGCACGTCCTGTGTGATACAGATAACAAAAGCTTCTCCTGAAGAAGCGCAGTCAGTGAAGACAGAGAGAGAGAGGAAGTGAAAGTGAAATTCTTGGAGGGCAGCCACCGCCTCATCTCCACCTACCATCGGCTTTAGCTCCCTGGCGTCGGCCACACCGCCCTTACCAGCTTCTTTCATTGCTTTCCTACTGTTTTCCACGAACTCCTGCAAAACAGAACCAGAACACAGCAAGCCTTGAATCTTCTCTGACTCAAGTGGGGAAACTCTCAAGTACATTTCCATTTTTGACTCAATCTTCTTAAATGCCTCCTAGTCCGATAACACACTTCAACCATCCTATCATCCATCAGAGAGGTTGAATTTGGGAAGCTAGACTATGGTTCGCCGATATACTTTTTCCCCCAGTCATTTACTCTCGGGCTGGAGAGATAGCACTGCAGGTAGGGTGTTTGCCTTGCCTGTGGCCAACCTGGGTTCAATTCCTTCACCCCTCTTGGAGAGCCCAGCAAGCTACCGAGTATGGTGCCCGCACGGCAGAGCCTGGCAAGCTCCCTGTGGTGTATTCGATATGCCAAACACAGTAACAAGTCTCACAATGGAGACGTTACTGGTGCCCACTCCAGCAAATAGATGAAAAAGAGGAGGACAGTGCTACAGTGCTACAATCATTTATTCTGACAATCTCAGCCAGTCTCAAAGAGATAATAATCTATTTGGAAGAGAAAATACTTCTTAAATGAAAGACTACTTTCACGTACCTAGAATCCTGTTTTATTTTGTTTTACTTTCTCTAAATCAAGGTTAAATAAACCAGGAACATTTTACTTCATAGGTCACCTCTTTAAAATAACCCTAGAATGGGGCCAGAGTGATAGTAAAGTGTGTAAGACATTTGCCATGATGAACCAAGCTGGATTTCTGGCTCCCAACAGATGGTCCCCCAAGTCCTGTCAGAAATGATCCCTGAATGTAGAGCCAGGAGTAAGGTCTGAGCACCACTAGGTATGGCTCCCCCCGAATTATATAAAATAACTCTAGAAGGGAAAAAGAAAGCATTAATACTGCTAAGCATAGAAAATTAAACATAAATTAAAAATATATAAATATAAACTAAATATAAACTGGGCTGGAGCGATAGCACAGCGGTAGGGCGTTTGCCTTGCACGCAGCCAACATGGCCGACCCGAGTTCGATTCCTCCGCCCCTCTCGGAGAGCCCGGCAAGCTACCAAGAGTATCTCGCCCGAACGGCAGAGCCTGGCAAGCTCCCCGTGACGTATTCGATATGCCAGACACAGTAACAACAAAGTCTCCAATGGAGACGTTACTGGGCCCGCTCGAGCAAATCGACGATCAACGGGAGGGCCTTTACCTTTTTAACAAAGTATAAACTATAAAGATATATAGTTTTTACCAAACTATACATATTTTACATATATACACATATATTTTAAAAATATATTTAAAAAATTTCTTTTCAAAAAAGTCTGTCTGGGGTTGAAATAATAGAACAGAGGGTAGGGTGCTTGCTTGTCTTGCACACAGCTAACCTGGGTTCTATTCCCGATATAAGGGGCTGCAAGCACTGCTAGTAGTGACCCCAGAGCACAGAGCCACGAGTAAGCCCTGAGTACTTCTGGGCCCCCACTAGCCCGTGGTCACTCCCCCTCCCCGCCACAAAAGTTAATACCAATGGTTCATTGTTCCAACTCAAGGTCTAAAAGTGAGGTTTAAAAACTTCATTCAGGGCTGGGGAAATGGCCCAAAGGACTGGAGTGCATACTTTGCAAGTGGGAGGCCCAGTTTGGTCACCGACACAGCATGGTGTCTGAACACTACCAGAACTGACCCAGGCTGCCAAGCCGGGAGTAGTCCTAAGCACAGCCAGGTGTGGCCCCAAAACAAAACAAACAGAAAATGATTTAAACTGGTTGAACGACAGAGACGGGACCCACATTATGAAAATGTATGGACTCATGTTTATTAGTGATTTCGCTAAACTGACTTGAAATAGTCTTTTTATGCCAAAAAGGGCGTCCTTTCCCAACTTTGTTCAAGATCAAGCTCCTTAAAAACAAAAACAAACCAATTTTAAATTACTCAGCTACAGCTAAAGGAAATTAAATGTAGAAAGTATTTTGCAGAACATGTTGGCTAGTATTTTTACCTCTAAAGTAGCAAGGCATCTGAAGCACTTACCATCAGCACCTTATCCATATAGAATTCTCTGCCAGGACTCCCATCATTATATTTTGTATCAATGGCAAAACACAAGAATAATACATCCACTACCATTTCGTAGATGGACAAGAAACAATGAGCGACTAGGAAAGCAAAGAGGCAGACGATGATCAGAGGCAGCACCCAGACTGTGTAATCCTGTTGGTAGTTGAGCAGCATAATCCCAGCCAATCCTGTGCTGCAGACTATCAGCACCTAAAGCAGAGAGAACAGAGAGCACGTTTAATACCCTCCTGCGCTACTTCGGCATCTTCATGGCAGACAAAAACATTCTACTCCTCTAGAACGATGGCTGCATACTTCCATTCCAGTTCAAATTATGAAGTTGAATCCATATAAATTGATCTACAAAAGCATACGTGCCTGTCATGTGATGTAAATACAAAACTCATCTTTATTTTCAGGGTGTTTTTTTTTTAAGTGTGTGTGGGGTCGCACCGGGTATTGCTCAGGGGTTACTCCTGGACTCCTAGTGGTGCTTGGAGAATTATACGGGATGCTGGAGATTGAACCCGGCATGCAAGGCAAGTGCCCTGCCCGCTGTACTATTGCTCTCTCCCATAAAACTTATCTTTTAAACGTCTCTAATATTTTTTAAAAATAATCAGGTTTCCCAAATGTTATATTTACTCCCTCAGACTTCATTTCTTCAGCATCAGCAGCACTTTCTACAGATAAATGTTTTATTTTCGAGAAAAAATATCATACAAACTCAGCACTCAGAATAAAATGATCAACATTTTAGAGTATTGCTACATATTTTTATAAGTATCTTCACTTATATGAAGTAATATTACATAAACAAATCATTAAAAGCTTCATTAATATTTATAGTATCATCATAAATATTTCCTAAGTACTTCCTCAGTAATATAATTTCAATTAATGAGTGACTTAAATTTTATTTAAACACTATCTTATAGCTAGCGACATATTGTTTACAGACAAATAATTCTGCAACACTCCTCTCTCGGCTCCATACTTCACTTAGAATATGTGGCAAACTTAAAATGATCTTTCATGAAGTTTAGATTTGGGTTATCTGGGAAAAAAAGAGGTATGCCCTGAAATCCCATACAGGAAGGAAAGACAGAGCCACTTTGCTAAAAGGGCCACTTGTTATCATGAACCACTTAACTCTTATGCTCTATCACTTCATACGCAGCACATTCAAATTTTCAGAAAACCGAGGGTTCTTTCCATACATTTTATTTCCTCTTTTCATTGTTCGGTTGATGGTTTACAGCAAATGGTGTCATCCTTATTTTATAGATCTGGAAACATGCTCAGTGGTGATAGCCAACCTGCTCAGGCTGACTGGGTCGATAAAGATCAGTGGCTGTGATAAAGGCCCTGCCTGTATGAAATACTAGTCCACAGCAAGGCCTTTCATGGTACAACGCATCTGCCTGAGAAGGGTTCAGAAGAATCACTTGGGTTTTCTATTTCTAACACATTTAAATGTCATTTTATATTATTGCCTATAATGCATATATTCGTAAAGGTTAGACATAAATCACGAATAAATGGGCTCAACATTTTTGTCCTAGGGTACATAATTTAAAAAGTTTAAACTTCTGTTCTACGGGATAAATTACTGATGACACAATGGAAGAGACGGATAAAAGTGTCTTCTTACAAGATGCATATAGGCCAGTGAAGTAGGAAGGAATTGTTTTGGAGTCAGGAGAAATGTTCCCTTAAATCAAGGAATTAGTACTTCTTAGTTATATGAGTATATGCAAGTTCATTTAAACTTTCTGAGTCTGCGTCCATCTTTAAAATAGGCCCAAGAGGACATACATCCTGTTTGTTGAAACAAGCATTCTTATTAATCCATAGCTTGATAACTGTTTATCTTTTTGCTCCCTCCCTCTCCTCTTTGTACCTTCTGCTCTTCCCTCCCTCTCATTCTTCTTTTTCTTTCCTTTCTCTGTTTTTCTTCCTCTATCCCTTCTTCCTTTCATCACAAATCTTACTTGGCTGATACCCTTACCCGCATGGATCCATGCTTTAAAACATTTTAACCACAAAACAGCGCATATAAAAAATTTCATATTCTAATTTTTATTGATCGAAGTCAAAATATCAATGGAAACACAGTTTTAGAAAAAGTTATTAAGTAGAGGAAAAACATTTCACACAGAAGCAAAGTTACTTGGAATTTGGGTTTATTTTTGGTACTTTTATTGAGGCCACTGTACCTACAGCATGCATGTTATTTAATTATTTTATTTATATTTGAGGCTAGTTACAAAAATATTAATATTATTGTTTTTGGTGTACAAAGTTACTATACCTCCAACAAAGTGATATTATGTATTTCATTTATTTAAAAATGTTTAAATGGGGCTGGTATGATGGGTAAAGTACTCCCGGGTTCAATCCCTGGCACCACATACGGTGCCCTGAGCACTATCAGGTGTGATCCCAGTGCATAGAACCAAATGTGTCCCCCACTCCCTTTCTAAAAACTCCAGAATGTTTAGGGGGTTTATAAATTTCTACTTTTACCTTTGAAGCTTCCCATAGAGCAAAGAGCACAAGCTGACCAAGACTTTAGAGAAGACAAGGTCCCTTCCACATCTCATTTAACATTCCACGAGACTACTGAAGAATGCACAGAAATAGAATCTATGACACTGTTGTTTCTTTTAATTTTTCTTGATTCTGCTGTTTATTTACAAATACGGTCTAACACCTTCTCTTTAGACCTGCTTTCCTTTTTCTCCCTACCCATCCACTTCTCTCCAGGTGGTTTCAGTTTTGTTGTCATTATCCACTGGCTTATGTTGTGTACTTATCAACTTTATATCCTTACATTGTACACACTGGGTGAAAGCATCCAATGCTTGTCTTTTTCCTCCGATGATCTCGAATTCCTCCTATGTTTTCGTGAATAGCAAAAGTTCATCTTTACATAGCTCTGTAATATTCCATACCATCTATGCACCACACCATATGCATTTGCTCATAGGTACTTTATTTCCGTATTTGAGTTCGCATAAATAACGCTGCAATAAACTCTGGAGTAGACACAGGTTCTAGTGTTATGTCTTCATGTTCTTCAGAGAGATATCCGAAAGTAGGAGTTGGGGGTCACTGGATCATATGAAAGCTCTTTTATTAGGCTCATGAGAAATTCCAGTTTCCCAAAATGAGTGCACCAACGTGCTTTCCCAACAGTACCTATGGCTTCTGGTTTCTCCACATCCTTTCCATCACTTCTTCTTTTGATGTCAGCCATTTTTACGGGTGTGAAGTAGTAAATGACTGCTGCTTTGATGTGCATTTCCCTGATAATTAGTGATGGTGAGCATCTTTTCAGATGTTTATTGGTGAGAAGAAAAGAGCACCCAGGTACCACATATGGTCCCCCAGCATAACCAGGAGTAATCCCTAAGCACCGAGCTAGGAGTAAGCCCTGAGACACCTAGTCCCAATTAAAACAAGAAAAGATGCTTGCTGGTAATACGATTGTTTTCTTCAGGGAAGTGTCTATTCAAATCTTCTGTCCATTTATGACTAGGATGGTTATTTTCTGTTGTCAATGAGTTATGTGAGGTCTTTACCTGTCACCTATCATAGATATATTATATGCAAATATCTTTTCCAATTCTGTAAAGGTAAAGGTAAAGGCCCTCCCGTTGATCATCGATTTGCTCGAGTGGGCCCAGTAACGTCTCCATTGGAGACTTTGTTGTTACTGTGTCTGGCATATCGAATACTCTCGGTAGCTTGCCGGGCTCTCCGAGAGGGGCAGAGGAATCGAACTCGGGTCGGCCATGTTGGCTGCATGCAAGGCAAACGCCCTACCCGCTGTGCTACCAATTCTGTAGTCTACCTATATTTTCTTTTGCTGTACAAATGTTTTAAAATTCAGCATAGTCCCAATTGTTTCTCTCTGCTTCCCCTTTCTTTTGTGATTGTGGCTGAGTCCCCAAAGACATCAGAAACATGTTTTGCAATGTTTCATCTTTATCTTCTATGGAATTTATGGTTTGGGGTCTGACATCCAGGTCTCTAATCCATTTGAATAATATTTCAAAAGGAATTAGATATGTAGTTTCATTCTTTTGTATGTATCTGTACTGTTGATCAAATATCTTTCATTGAAAAGACTTTCCTTTCTCCAGTGCACGGTCTTCAGTACTCTATCATAGATTAAACAATGATAAGTATGTGAATTGATTTCTGGGATTTCAATTCTGGGATTTCGATTTTATCCTATTGATCTCTGTGTTTGTTTCTATTCAAACAGTCTTAATTAAACATTGTCACATGTACATACTTCAAAGTCAGATAATATGATGCTTCTATTTATCTTTTCAGACTCAGGACTTGAACAAAATTTAAGTTTTAAGGTAATTATGAATATATGCCAACATCTTACAAAATCTGTAGTGTAACACCACAATCAAAATAGTGATATTCATATGGAATACAGTAAAAAACGAACAAGCAAACAAAACCCAAGTAACAGATTACTTCAACTTTTTTTTGGGCAGTAATGGAGATTGAATCCAGGACCTCATACACGCAAAGCAGGCACTGAGCCACTGGGTCACATCCCTGACACTCGGAAACCTGAATTTTAATAGCTATAATAGCTACCCTTATTCCCCATCAAGGCTATCTCTAACATGGTGGTCAAAAATGTACTTTCCGGGGCTGGAGCGATAGTACAGCGGGTAGGGCGTTTGCCTTGCATGCAGCCAACATGGCCGACCCAGGTTCGATTCCCAGCATGCCATATGGTCCCCCGAGCACCGCCAGGAGTAATTCCTGAGTGCATAAGCCAGGAGTAACCCCTGAGCATCGCTGGGTGTGACCCAAAAAGCAAAAAAAAAAAAATTTGTTTTCCACTTTCACAGTACTGTTATTGAAGGATATTATATAAATGTAACCATGCACTATTTACTTATTAGAATTTTTTTTTTCAGTACACTTGTCTCAAGATTCATCCAAAGTGTTAACTGTACCAGTAATTCAATCCTGACATATTTATTTGATTTTAATAGCAATGAACTAAATGGTCAGAAACTATTTCTGTATTTAACTATAATGAAAGAAACTCTTTTCAAAAGTACACAGTGTTCTATAATCAGAACTACATTTTAGTTTTTTTTTTTTTTCTGGAGGGCCCATATCAAGCAGTGCTCAGGAAGCCACTCCCATTTTGTGCTTGAGGGCTGTTCTCAGTGGTGCTTCAAGGATGGAACTCAGGACTCCTGCATACCAAGTATGCACTTAGAGCATTACTTTTTTTCTGTTCCCCAGAATGACACTTGGGTTGGAAGGAGCTTGGGTCTCACCCAGCAGTTCTCAGGGCCTACAACTGGCTTGGTGCTTGAGGGTGATTCCCAGCATCCTCTGGGGATCACTCAGTGCGGCGGGTTGAACAGGGTTGCTGTGAGCAAGACCAGCATCTTAAGCCCTGTATGACCTCTCTGGCCTCCAGAACTACATTGAAAAAAGGAGATGAAGAAAAGATGAAGAAAAACTAAGGAATATCTTAGTATGTTTGAAACCAGATACTCTTTTCCCCTCCTCATTAAATTTTTCGGTTTCTTAGTAAAAAATGTTTACTATTATAAATCTATCACTCAAAATGTACTAGCGTGGAAAGTGATTCAATAATGTACATTAATAACTCTACCAACTCATTAATTCTACCTCAAGGATTCCGACCTGTTTTCAGGGAAAAAGTATTGATGTGCAAGACAGGAGGGAAGAGGGACGGAGAAAATGAACAATGGGAGAGAGGCAAGGAAGGAGGGAAATTGAGAAATTGACTGAAAATGCCTAAAAGTATTAAGAATGATGTCTTTTCAAAGTCAAAATAAGATTTCAAGATTTCTCTCACCCAATTTTGCCATGGAGTGGAAAAAAATAGACAAAACAGAAAGCTTTAAAATGTTTATCTTACCCTATAGTCTAATGAATGATCTGTCAAAATATTCCTTTATCCCTCTCTTTCAGTTTTTTTTGGCTTTTGAACCATACATAGAGGTGCTCAGAGGCTACTTCCACCTAATGCATGGCTCCTGGCGGTGTTTGGAAAATCATAAGTTGCCAGCAGTCAAACCCAGGATCTGCTAGCTCCCTGTGCTACCTCTGGATCCTCAAAATACTTCTTAGGTTAATAATATATAGTTTTCACACATTCAAAGAAACACTTATAGACTGCCTACTGGTAATATGCAATGGTGTGTTCAGGGTATTAGTTATATACCAGTCAGTGAAGAATTTATAATTTTGAAGAAAAGTCAGTTTGTATTCCTTCCCTTTACTTTGTATTGTATTATAAATATTTTCTTTAAAATGTTTTAAAAATAAAGTTATACAATTATTGCACAACACTTATTTAATCAAGTCTCTCTGGCCTTCTCTCTCTCTCTTTCTTTTAGGGTCACATATCACATATTGGCTCTGTACTCAGGAGTCACTTCTGGTGGGGCTCAGGGGACCATATGTGGTGCTGGGAATCAAACCCATGTTGATCACATGCAAGCTAAGTACCTCACCCACTGATTTTTTTCTCCAGATCCTTATTTATCCATTTTGCTTGGATGCCACACTTGGCAGTGCTCTGGTGCTACTCCTGGCTCAATGGGCATGGGTCTCATTTGGCCGTGCTTTTGAGGGGATCATGCAGTGTCAGGGAATCACAGTATTTTTGAAGAACAAATTGGTTACTACCTCAAGATAAGAAGAATTAAGGATCACTGGGTTTGACATTGCCTTCCTCTCGGTTTTATACATGAGCAAACTGAAGCACAGACCAGTTATGAATCCTGCCCGAGGTCACACACTAGCAGTGACAGAGCTAAGACTTCGGTCCAGGTCAGGCTCCTGGAGTACTCCCAGCCACTATACATTGTTTATTTTTTCTTTTTCCCCTTTCTCTTCTCTCTTTTGCAGGGAGGTGGTGGTACTGCGGTTTGGATCATACCCCACAGCACACAGGGACTATTCCTGGCTAGGGGCCTGGGGGGCCAAGCAGAGTTGGGGAAATCACCCAGTGGCCCAGCATGCAGAGCATCAATCCAGCCCTACCTATGAGTTCTTTCCCTGCATTGCCTTTCTTGCCTTTCAGCTGATGCAACTGGAATGACCAGGGGTCATTCTTCTATTGTGGTGCTTGTACTTGCTTTCTTGTGGCACTGGTGCTCCCAAGCATCAGAGCAGCCAAGATCACAGTGGGGCACCTGGGTGAAGCTGGGGATGGAATTCATGGGCTCATGTATGTCAGATGATGCTCTACCGCTGAATTATCCCTGGGGCTCAATTTGTTCACTCTTTATGGTCAAAATCTGAAAGGAGAAACATGGGCGAACAACAAAATCCCTCCATCCCTCTGTTTCTTCTGTATAGTGAGGATGATAATGGAACTTCGTAGAGCTGAGGAGAGAAATCATCGCACCAGAACCCTTGCTTTTGCATGCAAAACATGCAGGACAACCGGGTTCAATCCCAGCACTGCATAATCCCCAACAAGCTGACAATAGCCCCCAAAGCACTGCCGCGTAAGGCTTTCGAAGAAAATTAAACAAAAAAGTAAAATTTTATTTACAAACTTGTGATTAAATGTGCCTAATAGAATGTTATCAGAACAGTACCTGATACATATAAAAAGTTTCGTAAGGGCTTACTACATATTAAATCACAGAGTCGTCTTCTAGGTTTTTGGTGAGTGAAGATATATGTAAAATTAAAGAGCAAATATATGTATATGCAAAAATTTAACGTGTCTTAGATAACAGGCATGGTCTCACCTTGCCTAGGAATAACATGAAATCGCCCACTGTGTTGATGGCAGCCACTCGCAAAGCATTTTCCACGAGGATGACGAAGGCGTCCTTTGCAGAGGTGCAGAAGTTGGTGCTGTTGATAGCTGTGGCTGTGTATGCATTCTGGACAACAGTAAGAATATTTCTCTCAATTTACATAAGTTATATAGTAAATATAATAAACAGACACATCACACTTTGTTAACACACGAATCAAGCAGGGGCTGGAGAGATAATAAAGGAGGTAGGGCGTTTGACTTGCATGTGGCCAACCCTGGTTCAATCCCCGGCACCACATATGATCCCCAGAGCCCTGCCAGGAGTAATCCCCAAGTACAGGGCCAGAAGAAAGCCCTAAGCACCACCAGGTGTGGCCCCCAAAATTAAAACAACCCCCAAAACAAGATGTGTTTCAAGTAGTTAAATCATAGCTTGCAAAATATTTCAAACCTGTTATCTTTGGGGTGGTACAGATTAATCATAAGAAAATACAAAGCTGGGGACTGAAGTGATAGTACAGTGGGTAGGGCATTTGCCTTGCACGCGGCCGACCTGGGTTCGATTCCCAGCATCCTATATGGTCCCCTGAGCACTGCCAGGAGTGATTCCTGAGTGCAAATCCAGGAGTTATCCCTAAACATCGCAGGTTGTGACCCAAAAAGCAAAAAATTAAAGAAAAACTAAAAAAAGCATTTAAAAATATTAATATGGTGAAGAGTATTTCAACATAGAAGACTTTTTAAAAAAATTTCTTCTTTTAATTAGTGAAACACCATGAGGTACAGTCGCAGGCTTACAAACTTTTGTGCTTGGGTTTCAGTTATACAATGATCGAGTACCCATCCCTCCACCAGTGCCCATTCTCCACCACCTATGAACCCAGTATCCCCCTCCCCACCCCACCTCTGTGGCAGGGTATTCCCTTTTGCTCTCTTTCCTTTAGGGTGTTGCGGTTTACAATAGAGGTCTTGAGTGGCCATCGTGTTTGGTCTATAGTCTCCTTTTAGCGCACATCTCAAAACCTGAGCGAATCCTTCACACACCCTTTACTTGGTGTTCCCTTTTCTATGTGAGCTGCCTTTTCCCGCAGCATGTGCTGCCAGCTTCCAAGCCATGGAGCAGACCTCCTGGTACTACCTCAACTATTCTTGGGTATTTGACTCTCATTCTGTTACTCTAGATTCCCCAGTTGAGTGCAGTCTTTCTATGTCTGTCCCTCTCTTTCTGACTCATTTCACTTAGCATGATACTTTCCATGTAGAAACACTTGTATGTAAATTTCATGACTTCACCTTTTCTAACAGCTGCATAGTATTCCATTGCGCAGATGTACCAAAGTTTCTTTAACCAGTCATCTGTTCTTGGGCACTCGGGTTTTTTCCAGATTTTGGCTATTGTGAACAGTGCAGCAATGAACATACAAGTGCAGATGTCATTTCGACTATACTTTTTTGCCTCTCTGGGATATAGTCCCAGGAGTGGTATTGCTGGAGAAGACTCTTTTTGTGTTTTGTTTTTGGGGTACATAGCAGGTGCTCATCAGTTATTCTGGGCAAAGTGCTCAGAGGTTACTCCAGCTGAGCTCATGGGAACACTCGATACCAGGGATTGAATTTAAGGCTCCCAGAAAAATGGTCTGTGTGCTCCATCCCCTTGAGCTATCTTCCAGTCTGGCAGTTTTTATGGTTCCTTGCAAACACTGATATTTATTATAACACAAATCTTTCCCCAACACCTACGAACATCTTCAAATGTTCCCACTGTCTTAGTAAATCAAATCTACTTTACCCTTGCGCCAAAGTCTCAGGTTCCTCACTGTGTGAATAAAAGTGACAGACTTGTACCATTCCATGATGACTGGAAAGCTCGTCTGTACTGCAAAGGCATCAAACGGCTTTGCTGTTCTATCTCTGATATCTACCATCTCCTCTGTGTGGCTTTTACCCAGGCTGTCAATTCTCAGAGCTATTGTAGCAGGCCAACACTTTCATGCCAAACATTTGATATCTCTTCCTCCTGGGAACAGAGCCACAATTCCCCTTGGAGGAAAGTGCCTCCTTAATCTCTTAGTCTGAGTGGGACTGACGCTCTCTTGGGTACTGGGGTTGGGCCTTGATGGATGGGCCATTCTACAAGTTTCCCCTACCATCAGGCAGGGCTCAGTGACTATGACAGACTACAGGTCAAAAATATTTACTTTCTGTCCATTTACAGAAAAACTCTGCTGATTCCTGCTCTAGAATACTACCAAGGATCAATAATAACCTCACACAGAGACGGTGGAACCCACCTCCTACCCTGCCTGAAATACAAACCACATCACATTTCAAGTCCCTTTCCCCAGAGCTTCCAGTCTTTCAAAATCTTCCACCACAGGGCTCTATTTCAGTAACTGAGAAATGCTGTCAGTTATGTACAATATAACTTAACTGATGAGAAATACTTTATTTCCCCTAAGACAATGGAGAAGATACTAACGAACTAGTTGTTTGATAACTGTCTTTTAGGGGGAAATTATCCACCTATGTTGGTTATAAGGGTTTTCCTTAAGTTTAAAAGAAAAAAAAAACATCGGGGGTCAGAGAGATACTGATAGCTCAAGGGGTGGAGTATACGCTTTGCATGCCTGAAAGTCTGGTTCAACCACATAGTCCCCTGAAGCAGTGCTAGGTGGTTCACAAAACCAAAACCAACCAACCAAAAAGCACTTCAATACTGAGAATCAGGGATATGATAATTCATTTAAATCAACTATATAATAGGACTGGAGAGCTAGTACAGTAGACAAGGCACTTGTCTCGCAAGCGACTGACCCATGTTCAATCCCTGGCACCCCGTATGGTCCCCCAAACCCCACCAGGAGTGATCCTTGAGTGCAGAGCCAGGATCAAACCCAGAGAGCTGCTGGATGTGGCCCTTAAACTAAAAAAATTTAAAAAAAATTAACCAGCGTCAAATCATACACATTAATTTTCAGAAGTCTCAGTTTGAAAATTCTTCCTCCACTCTTCCTTGTTGCCCCTTCCAGGCTATTTTCTTTAACAGAAGTCTATTCAACTCTATACATAAAAGGAGGCAACACAGATTTCTTTTCATAACTCTCAGCTATAAGGTAGAACACGATCTGAAATGTAAAGTTTTTGGACAAGATTCTTATAGATCTGTGCAACTTCTCCGAATTCAACTGACAGAAAGAAGTTTCTAGGTATTTTATAAGTCCTTTCTCCCACTCCCAAGGTAAAAAATCACTTAAATGTTCAGATATCCTCTTTGGGAAGGAAAAGGCATTATCAATCACTGTAGACCAGTTTATTTCTGTTTCTGAAACTACTCGTCTACGAGGAACCCTGCATAAGTTCCTCAAGAAATTCTCAAGTCCTTTGTGGCTCTCCTTATTAACTGTTCTCACAGCTTCCTGAAGACTACTGAGCTGAGATTTTCAGAGGTTTCATCTTCTTAGACAGTCTTTCAGAATAAAACTAAGCTGGGGCTGAATATCTGCTAAGGCAGGATGGAGTCTTAGGACTATTCAACTCCCAAATAATAGGATCCTCACACAGCAATCTATTTCAAAAGATGCCCATTAGTCCAAGTGGACACTTAACATTTTTGTGTGATATAGCAAGGGGATACTGCTTATCTGCAAGCAATTATATTATATTATTATATTGTAATAGGGCAGAGGATGAGCATATATAGGTAACCCAGGCATGCTTGGTCATCTGTTCCAGAGAACAGCTGCCACATTTTCATATCTTCTTTCCTATACTTATTAATGACCTAGAAATTCTCTTAAAAGTTTAAAATCTTTAAGCACAAAGTCACTCAATAGAAGAAAGCAAGGTAAGAAAAAGGAAGTAGGATGTGTGCAACTCTACATATAAATCATAATTAATGGAAAAGGTAATTAAAAGCAGCCTTTTCTTATTTTGAATGTGGGATGGGAAGGACATAAAATCAAACCTTGAAATTTCATTCCATCCTTACATTTTTAGACTAAGGATTACAAGAATCAAAAGTATGTCACCAACCTAAATTAGGGTTGTGTTGCATAAAACATAGCATCCTTTTATGAAAGTGTCTATATTTACATGAGGGCTGGGTGATATAATGGCAAGAAACCTGCAAACTTAGATTTCAGAATTTCCTCACTTTAGGCCATAAAATGCCAGTTTTAATTCTCTCATGTATAAACAGAGAAAATAGGCTTTCACACAGAATTGTTGAGAGCAAGCGATAATGTAGTAAGTGCTCAAAATATTCTCTACGACTCCCACTCACAGTATGTAGAGAAAGGGTTTATTATATTAAGAACTGATTAGTCAGAGAGCAGATTCCTTCCACTGTTACATGCAGCCTTTCCACAGTGTCCAAGTAAACCAAGGCCTGAGTAATCCAAAGCACAACAGAAACAAATTCTAGCTGCAACAACCGCTACCTGAAGCGAACTCTATGTGCTAGATGAGATGTTTAATCACCTGCATGTCACATTGAGATAAACACCTGCAGAAACAAAGTGCAGTTCACATTTCACTGTTTATTTGCAAAATTCTAGCACCTAAGCTATTTATAAGAAATGGCTTATTTTTCAAATCTAAAGCTCCTTTTCAAAGCCAGCTATATTTCCCATGCTGTTAGTCACTGAAACAGTCTAGGATTATGGAACTTCTTGCTGCAAAATCACTTTGGTCTACTATACCACCGTATCAGTACTCCTCTCTATTACTCTCTAAATTCTCCAGTAAATAGGGCAACAAAAAAATAACTGTGTGGTCCACAGACCTATTTTTTAATTATTATTATTGTTATTATTATTATTATTTTAATTGAATCACCATGACATACACAGTTATAAAGCTGTTTGTGGTTGGGCTTCAGTAATACAATAATCCAACACCCATCCCTCCACCAGTGCACATTTCCCACCACCAATACCACTGTCCTCAGTTTTCCTACTCTCTTCCCTTTCACCCCCCATCTTGTCTCTATGTCAAGTACTTTGCTCTCTCTCTCTTCTCTCTCTCTCTCTCTCTTCCCTCTCTCTCTCTGTCTATCTCCTTTTATGGAGCTATTTCTTTGACTCGGATTTTTTTTCCATTTTAATTGAGGACTAGACTGATGAAAGCAAACAATAAAATGCAAGCATCCAGAATCCTGGTTTCTCATAAAACCGGACGAGTTAGAAACTATCCATAAATTCTCACTTAGCAGCAGTATACTGAAGCTAAATAGAAACTGCCTTTGACTTCTTCTCATGAAACGTGAGCGGTGTGAGCTCTTCAATTTGCCAGTTTCTATAACTGTGTCCTGCTTCCACTTGTCTAAGGCGCCCATTTACAAGTAATGTAATCGGCCTCAATGAGTCCTGTGGGTTGTTCAAGTTTTCGAGCTGTGCTCAAGGTTTTTGACTTTAGGTTGCAAACTGATCTCAAAAAAAAAAAAAAAGATAGTAAAAGATAGGAGAAAATGTAAAGGAGCATGAACTCATTCCTAATTCTAAGTAGGAGATGGCAAGGGAAGTGAGGGCCTATGCGCCTGGCACGTGTGAAGTGTGACATAAATGTCAGCTGGCATTATAATTAGCATGATCATTTTGCTCTATTCTGCTAATAATCTAAATAATATTTCAGACGGTAAACGAGGAGTGTTAAAAAACTAAGACCAAGAAGCTGGAGCAATAGATCGGCAAATAAGGTGTTTGCCTTGCCTGCTGCGGACCCAGATTCAATCCCCGGCGTCCCTGATAGTTCCCTGAGGCTGCCGGGAGTGATCCTTGAATGCATGCAGAGCCAGGAGTAAGCCCTGAGCACTGCCAGGTATGGTCCCAAAACCAAAAAAGAATACCCTCTCCCAAAGCCAAGAAACTAAGAATGAAAGAAATGCATCATAAGGTACTGGTATAAGAACAGGCAAACCAATGCCAGCAGAAAAAAATCCCGGGACTCATGTATGTTCTGAAAGAATTTAATAGATGGGGACTGGTGAGATGGCTCGAAGGACCTGTGTGACAGATGGCAGCGCCTAAGGCTAGAAAGTTGGGCTGACTCAAATTCTCTAAGGAATGAGTTATTTAGTAATGGCACAAGGCGTATGATGATCACCACTAGCACATCCATCAACTCTTTGACAGGGATGTCTTGATTGCAAAGCAAGTTTTTAAAGAACATAATTTTTCTGTCCGTTATGTTTGCTATAAATTAATAACACTTTGTATTCATTGAGTCTTAGGATCTCCAAGCATGAATTTTGCTAATGGAATGCCATGCCTCCTTTTTGACGTTAACCACAGAACTCTAATGCAGCAAAATCACATCACACCACAGGACTATCATCTCGTGGGAAGCACAGTGCAACTGGATGAAAAGCGCAATGCTATTCTCCAACCACTTAGAGGTAACTGTTGAGAAAGTCAATTTTCGTCTTTTATCTATTAGATCAGAGTATCAGTGCATCAGAATTGATTCCAGGGAATGCAGGAGAGTAGTAAAAAGAAAGAAAATGCAGAAAAGATGGGTAGAGTGCTTCACAGAGAGCTCTATGTACTTAAGGAAAAGGACCAATCTTTTCTCCGATGAACTCCTATCCCGCAAATAGCGATTCCTCCATTCACTGTAGAAATAGTACTTGCTTCAACATTATCTCCCAGGCAAGTAAAACACTTTAGTTGTTGGACAATGGATAAACCCAAACCACCAAAGAGAGAACACTCGTTCTGAATGATAGTAGACAGTTGCAAAAAAAAAAAAGAAGAAGAAGAAGAGAAAGAAATATTATTGCAGCTTTGCACTAAAGCCTTCGGGTATTTAAAACAATTAAACATCTATGACCAGTGTGAAGAAATTCAGAGGAAAACTGCAAACAAGAGGCTGTAAATTAAGACAGTGATAAATGTCTTTCCTTCCTGAAAGATATACCCTTAAGATATCTTCTCCATGTATTAAAATCAACTAATAATGAGCCTAGATAAGAAGACATGTTCCTTTTGTCTCCCACTTTTTTGGCCACACCCAGTGATGTTCAGGGCTTAGTCTTGGCTACATACTCAGGAATTAGTCCTCATGGTGCTCACAGGACCACATGGGATGCCAAGAATCAAATTCAGGTCAGCAACATACAAGGCACGTGCCCTACATGCTGTACTATCACTCTGGTCCCAGAAGATATTTTCCTTTTAAGGAGAAAATATGATTTTATACATCTTATCAATGCACAGTGTGCAGCACATGAGAAAACTATGGCATCTTTTAATTAAACTCAAGGACCACATCAGTAGTAAATTCTATTTTAGAAGAAACAGAAAACGGATCTTTGAAAGTTAGCTGTTATTTTTAAGTATCTTACCTGATTTAAATAATTTAGGCACTTTTCAAGACACCAAAGGCAACAAATGCAAGATTTCAGCACACATCGGGCACAAGCATTTTCCTGGAAAGGAAGGAAAACTGAACTTACTAATACAACCAAAGACTCTGAGCTGGAGAGACAGTACTGTGGGTCAGAGCCACTGTACGTGGCCAACCAACAACACATCTGGTCCTCTGAGCAATGCCAAGACTGAATCTTGAGTATAGAGCCAGGAGTAAGCCCTGAACACTGCCAGGTATAGCTCCAAAACAAAAGCAAAACAAACACTCATACCGTCATACAACATATACAAATGTTAGGAAAACAATTTTTTTTAAAGATCTTTAATTTCATATACTTTATTATTTATTTATTTTTTTATTGACTCACCTTGAGATACAGTTACAAAGCTTTCATGATTGAGTTTCAGTCATGCAATGATTGAATACCAGTGTAGCTTTCTCCCCGCCAATGTCCCCAGTATCCTTCCCACCACCCGCACTCCACCCTACCCCATGCCTCGATGGCAGGCACTTTCCTTCTTACTCTCTACTTTGGGGCATTATAAGGAAAATGAAATTTTATTTTAAATCACAGTTTGCATTGCGATTTATGCTTCCCTCGAAATGCAATTTTCATTTTCCCTCAAAATTTAACAGTTGAATGTTTTAATGAGTTTAATTCAAGATGTACCTATCGCACATAAGCTCTAGCGTGGGGTATATAAGACTGGCAAGGATTTGAAATCTAGGAAGAAAAAAATGCTACACACAAAAATGTTGAGGTTCATAATCGGATATGAACAGTAAGTCCTAGGAGAGCAGAGAGACAACACCATGAGGGGGATGACAAGAACCAGGGAAGGTCTGTGGGAAGAGCAGGGGCCTGAGGGATGCTTTGTCGATGCACACATTATCTCCACTGCGAAGGACAGAGGGTCTGTGGAGGAGAGGGTCTGAGCCAACATGAAGGAAAAGATGCCACAGGACAATGACTGGACACTTTTTGCCAGAATATATGGAATGCAAGAGCAGGAGACAAGAAGAAAGGACTGGCTCAGTACGATTTTCAAAGAACATATCCACGGTCTGGACAAGACTGGCCACGATACCACAAGCAGAACCCGAGGGCTGGCATGTGCCCACGGACGTTTCCAGAAGCATTTCCCCTTACCTTTCCTTTGAGCTGACTGTGAATGTACATAAGGATCATCCGAGGAATTTTGACTAAGGTGATAATGAAAGACCCTTTTGCCACAGTACCAAGGTGATAACGAATAAGGCGATTCACTGATGCCAAAATAGGTGTGAATGGCAAATTCCTTTTATCTCTGTATTTCAAATAAGGAGAAACAAACACACAAAAGACATTTTAAACAATGGTCAGGCCAGGAGAAAAACACAAAAGATGCATTAAAGCAAAGTTTCTTAAACTTTTTACTGCTTTTTGGGCAGAGAAATTTTTTTACCGCTTTTTTGGCAGAAAAATTTTTGGAGAGGGCAAGGGAGGGTTCCACAACAGTGCTGAGGGGTTCTTGGGCACCGATGACTATTCCTGGGTCAGATATCACCTGAGAAATTATTACACCATTCTGGGTATATAAACTGACAACAAATCATATATTTATTTGAGAATAATTGTCAGCAATCCCTCATTCAGTTACTTAACCTGATACAGGGTTTCAACCCATAACTTAAGAAGTTCTGGTTTAGAGTACAAGTACAATAGAATAAAATGTTCATTGTTCTGCCCTACCTTAATGATAAGACACAAGGACTCTACATATGTTATAAAAATTAATATTTTGTTTCTTTATGATGGGTGTGGTCCTTATGATAAACTGTAAGTTAAATCAAGCTGTATTTTAAAAGCTTTTATTAATCAATATTTATAGCCAGAAAATAGAACGTAAAAAATATTCAACCTAAACCTGACACTTGATTTTTTTTTTCTTTTTTATCAAGCCTGACAAGCTACCTGTGACGTATTCGATATGCCAAACGCAGTAACAATTGTCACAATGGAGACATTACTGGGCCCGCTCAAGCAAATCGATGAACAACAGGAGGACAGTGACAGTGTGATCATGACCATTCCCAGTGATGCTTAAAAAGCAGGAGACTTTGGGTCACTCCCTGCAATGATCAGCCCCACAGTGTAGGTCTAAAGACTCAGTGCTAGGAGACAGTCAGGGGCCACAGCTGGTGATACTTGGTGGGGACAGGAGGCCAAACAGTGAAGTCAGGCCTTGTGCCACCTAGGCACGTGCTCTACTACTTGCGCTATCTCTGCAGTCTTGCAACCTCATTTTATTCCATTTTTAAATTTAGCCATTATGATCTACAAGAATGTTAATATCAACGTCTTTGACACCAGAACCACCATGAAAGTCTGGCATTTCATTTGCCCAGACATCTCTAATCCCTATTTTATAGCCCAAAGTTAGGAAAGGAACTATGATACTTGTTTCTGATCCAAACCAACATCTAGGGAATGTTTATCTTTGGATGGGCTTTTCTATAATTGGGGCTGGAGCGATAGCACAGCGGTAGGGCGTTCGCCTTACAAGCGGCCAACATGGCCGACCCGAGTTCGATTCCTCCGCCCCTCTCGGAGAGCCCGGCAAGCTACCGAGAGTATTCGATATGCCAGACACAGTAACAACAAAGTCTCCAATGGAGACGTTACTGGGCCCGCTCGAGCAAATCGACAATCAACGGGAGGGCCTTTACCTTTACCTTTCTATAATAAAGCAAAAGTATATAATCACCACTAGAAGACTTACTCTACTTTCAAATATAAATTATAGCATGATCAGTTATTCTGATTGTTGAGCTACAGACAAGTATTTTTAAAAAATCAGTCATTTTTAAAAATCCCAAATTGATAACCTATAATATTTTATCATATTCCCTCCCAATAACTTTCCCTTCCCTCTTTTTGTAGAGGACCTCCCAAGCGATACTCAGGATGCTTGGGGAAACCTTCCCGTGGTACATGACCAACAAGGCAGGATGAGTTAATGCTCAGGCCTAGTGATGGGGTGCCCTTGAGCCCTGCAGTACTAGGGCCCCCAAGAGCCACCTGAGCAGGGGGTGGGAGGTGGTGTGGTGGTGCAGGGGTGTGTTGTGAACAGAATTTAGGGCTCCTCTGAGCTATTTTGCTCCCAATGACACCAGAGAATGAACTCTGACCAGGTTTCCTTAAAAATTCATCATTTCAATGATCTTACATTTTCTGAGAACACATTCTTACCTCGTAAAGTAGTACGTCACAACTGCTCCTGCCACAGTCATCTGCTGACAAGCTAGAATAAACTCACTGATCCAAATCAGACCCACCACATGGTACCACCACATGTACTGCAGAGGCCCAGAAACTTTGAATTCCACAAAGCCCTGGTCATTCTGAACCGCACTGCCTGGGAAAATATCAAGGAAAGAAAAAAAAATAAGCGTGTATATTGTATGGTTTATATATGAAATGCAGTTATTAGTTCAATTTCCAACAATAGGTTCTCAATCCCCAAACACAAACTTTATAATCACAGGCCTATTGAATTAAGAACCAAAATTAATTAGCACTTAGAAAGTTGTGAAGTCAAACATTATACTACCAACCATTTTGATTTCCCCAGAGGCATCACATAAAGCTTTTAAAACATGATTTATTTTAATATAGTTTTTACCACATTAGCAGTTATTTAGTTTTGAGATGAATTTTTAACTACTTCAATTTTTTTCATACTTATTACTTATCCTAAAATTATAAACCAAATTAAGAGCAAAGAATAGAATATACTCCAATGCCCATGTTCTTACAAAAGTCAATGTATAATGAATGGTCAGAGAAATTATATATAGGTTTACTAATCTTTGTTTTTATCTTTTGGGTCACACCTAGTAGCGCTCAGGAGTTACTGCTGGCTCTTGCTCAGAAATTATTCTTGGAAAGCTTGAGGGATCATATGGGATTCCTGGGATCAAACCCAGATCAGTTCACATGCAATGCAAATACCCTACCCACTGTACTGCCATTCTGGCCCTTCAAGTTTACTAATCTTAAAGTACTTCTCAGAATGAAAAAATTTCAGTGTAACCTACATAACTAAGAATGACAATAAGTCAGTCTAACAAAAAACTAGTATTAAAATGCATCTAGGTTCACATAATTTCCAAACTAGACAATCCCAAGGATGTAAATTCATCTTTGGTGATAACTGGGACTTTGGCAACAACTCAGAATGGTACTGCCTTCCCTAGTTTACTTCAGAGGAAATCCAAACGTCTACATTTGTACCAGAACTTAACCAATAACCATCTCAAAACTAGAATGCAATTCATGCCTTGTCTAGAACCTCACTGCAAAGACAATCTAAACATTGTGAACAGGGAAATGGGTTATTGAGCCAAAACAAATGTTAGTTCCAAGGGCTGGGGCTATTGGTTCATTAAACGTCTGAAGATTTTTATCTTTTTTGGTCTTTTTGTTGTTTTGTTTTTGTTTTGGCGGGCCATGCGTGGTAGTGTTCAGAGTTTACTCCTGGCTCTGCACTCAGCGATCACTCCTGGGAGTGCTTAGGGGACCAACAGGGTGCCAGGGATTGAACCTGGGTCAGCCACATGCAAGGCAAGTGCCTACCTGCTGTACTGTCTCTTGTGTCCTCTCTGATGTAAGATAGTTTAATGCAAATCAGATTTGTCACAGAAGAGGAAAAAGCAACACGTGTTCTTACCAGTAGTGCCAAGGAAAAGAAGTGTCATGATCCAGTATGCCCAAAACAAGACAAGGGCAAAGAACGTCCAAAAGGGTTGGAAGACTAGCAGTGGCAAGTGAATGAAGACTTTGCCAGCCACATGGAACAATGCGATGGTGAGAGCAACACGTTTGCGCATGACCAACATAATCAGGAATAATATAACCTGCATGGAGAGGATAGAGGAAATAATTCCAGTTACTGTTTTCAGCTGTGAAAACACAAACTAAACAACAGTTGAAAATGTTTATATAACCCTTCCCCCCCCCCCCAAATGTGAAAGTATTGTTCTCGGAATCACAATATGTTACTGACATTTATCTCTTTGGTAGCAACTATCATTTTCAATAGACAATTTAAACATAAAAGGATTTCTCGACTTACAAAGAAATCTTAGAATTTTTATTTTCCTTTTTGCACTCATTCTGAGTGAAAATATGGTGTTTTCCAGTTAGGATGAGACTAATTCACTTGAATACATTTAAGTCTGTGGCTCTACAAATAGGGGAAGGGCCACAATCCACAAATATGAAAGCAGGAAGGTTTTTTTTTTTTAACTTTGCCTCTTATTAGAACAATAGCCCCAAGAAGAGATTTCAAACCAGATTCAACGTTTGTTCCATATTCTACCCTAAGATACATAGAAAAGTATCCTTAAAATATGTTTAGTAAATATTTGTGCAGTAATGAAAAATATCTTTTGGCACCAGTAGTTTTATGGTGCATACATTACTTCTGTGGAATGGTGCCTTTACTATTTTTGTTTCTAATATGCAATAGAAAGGTTGAGATTGCTCACAGAGGGATTTTTCAGAGAAAGAAACGAACCAAAAATGTGAATATAGATTATTTAACCACACACGTTAATTTGTAATGAGGCCAGTGAAGCGCACATATTTTGAATGTTAGAAGTTCAAAAGGGAAAATAATTAGTGAACAAGTACACAGAATAAGAAGTGACCTTTTCTAAACATATTTTCTATAGTCAACTGAAAAGAATTACAAGAAAAAGTTATTATAAGTTATAAGCAATTATCCATGACTATTAATAAAGACCTTCTTACTAGTGGAATTGAATAATCAAAACTTTTAGCAAGTTTGTTCTCTCTCTTGCCCCACCCCACTCACCAAACTTAAAGGGACAACTCTCCTTTGGATTAAGAAAGCAAAATCAGACTGGCATGAGGCTTGTTGTTGGGGGAATACTTACATCCTCCTCTTGGTACGTTTTTCTTGCATTCTATTTGGCCTTGATTAGACCAAGACCTTTCAACTGTACATTCACTGTACTGAAGATCAATCAGTCAATCAGGACAATTACTATAATCTTCGTACTGATAATAACCCAAAGCCCTCTTTGACCTATAGAATTCTCTTGATTACCATACTAAAAACTACACCCCTACTGATGTTTCTCTGCCATTTCCTGTACAGATGATACATGATTAATGCATATTCCTTGTATATTCCCCAGTTAAGCATACTCACTTTCCCCCCTCATAAATATGCATAAATTTTATAGAAAAACTACTCAATATATTCTGTTATATCACTCTAACTACTGAGCATAATAAAACCAGACCCCCAGTACCTCCACTTCCTCTCTTTGAAGATTGCATTGTAGTCTGTGCCAACTGAACCTAAGATACATCCCAACTTAAGTTATTTTCCTGCCAATGAAACTCCCTTTTTCTATGTATTTATTACTGGAACAAGATAAGCAAATGATAAGGTAACTATACAAGCTAGAAATCCTTTCTCAAAGCAAAACACAGTGCTGAACACAACGTTGCCTCGGTAGTAGTCATTGATTAGGGAAGCTTTCTGCAAACACTTTAGTATGTTATACCTGGTGGACAAAACATTTTATTCGAAGGAGATCTGAGTCAGGAAGGCATCAGAGAGAGATGATTTTCATCAATGTCTCCTGTGCCTAAAAACACCACCTTGAAAGATCCACGTAAATAAGAACTCACTGTGAACACTGTTGCGGAGATGGCATAGATGAGGAGCGCCCGAAGATTGTCTTCAGCTATTTGAAGCTGTTCAGGTATCACTGTTTCTTTGGGAGACCTTCTCTGTTTTGCATACAGCCACCAAAGTACACCTGTGCCACCTGGAGACAAAAAGGAAAAAAAAAAGAAACAAAGAAAGAAAAGGAAAATGGGGAACACAACAATTAGCATGAGATTATATAACGTGAATCCTTAATTTTCTGGCTCCTTCCTATGCATCATTTTGGAACTAAAACAGTAACAATCCAATTGGTCAAGAGGTGCACAGCTATAATCTTTTATCAGCAAAAGACATGCTCTAATTATTCCATAAACTCCTTTCTTATTAGACACTTATAAGTCTTTCAGTTATGAAATAAACCTCCTTTAACTGCATGTATTAATTGACTCCGAAGCCAACAGGTAGTGAGCAATAACAGATACTCCTGAGAAGAACTGGTGATATAAGAGACTGTGTGTTCAAGTTTGGGGGCCTACAGGAAACAAGCCGGAACCACAGGAATCAGCAATGAGGCTGAGGACGGCAAAGATTTCTGTTACACTCATCACAGTAATCCCAGGGGACAGCATGGAGTCATGCAGCTGATGAAATTATCAGAATAATGCATAAATGAAGATGAAAAGAGTCGGCAGGAACAAAGACAGGACATCTTGGGAATCTTGCTAATATGGGTTGATGGAAGTTTTTATCGTCACCAGATTCTGACCACTAAACTGAAGAAGGAGACAAATCTGACCCCATATAAGAGAGCTAGATCTAAGTGAAGATAGATGGTCGGCAACTACACCACCTCCGCTTTGCTGATGACATCGTTCTAACAACACCACACATTAGCCAAGCAGCACAAATGCTGACCGACTTCAACTGTGAGTGTGGAAAGGTCGGATTACAGCTGGATCTCACAAAGACAATGTTCATGAGAAACAGTCTTGTTCCTGACGTTCCGAACATTCGCTCTCAACGGAACGACCAACTCCAAATGCAACAGTTATGTGTACCTAGGTCGAGAAGTCAACATGACGAATGACCTGACACCTGAGTTGTGTAGGAGGAAGAGAGCGGCTTGGAACGCCTTCAAGAGTGTCAAAGAAATAGATAAGAGGATGAAGAAGCTTCGGCTCTGGGCACATCTCTTCGATTTCACTGTTCTTCCTGCATTAACATATGCCTCAGAGACCTGGGCCCTACGCAAACAGGATGAGAACGCTATTCGAGACCTATGCTTGGAGTATCACACCGCACTCAAATGAAAGAAAGAATCCAGAGTTCTGACCTCCGTCAAAGGTCAAGAATCAGGGATGCTGCCTCATTTGCCAAGGCATCAAAAATCAGATGGGCTGGACACGTAATGAGATTTGGAGATGACCGCTGGATTAGCGCCATTACCAATTGGATTCCACGGGACATCAGAAGATCATGTGGCCACCCACCTATGAGATGGTCAGATTTCTTCGTCAAGACCCTGAACGATTGATTTGAGGCTCTTCATGTTCCTAGAATGAGCAGATGCCATTGGGCTACACTAGCATGTGACAGGGATGAATGGAGGGATTACTGGCGCCCGTTTGAGCAAATCGATGAGTAACGGGATATCAAATAAGAGAGCTACACCAGGAACTTTTAACCAATATATTAATGAAACATTTTGCATACTCATAGGATATACTGATTTAAGGATGGGGAAAAAAAAACATTGAACAAGTTCCTATCTTCACCCTTCATGGAGCTTATATATAGTGATGGAGAAACAAAAAAATCAAGGAAACAAGCAAAAGCATAGTCTATTAAATGTAAAAAAAGAAAGTTGTTCAAGAGATGAAGAGGCAGTGTCGGGGTAAAGAGCTTGCCTTGCATGGCACCATGTAACAAGCTCTGATCAAACCCCTGGCATTATCTGTGATATTCCAGTTAATCACTTCTGAGCAGAGACCCAGCCACTGAGCACATGCCTTGGGGAGGCAGGTGGGGGTGGGGGTGGGCAGGAGGACAAGAGGGAGGGTGGGAAAGTGGAAGAGAGGGAGAAAAAGGAAGGAGACTAGGTAAGCACTGCAGTGTTACATAAGATGTATAAGAAATGCATCACTGCTGTGCTGATATTTGAACAAGAGAATCCAAGACAGGAAGAAAACAATCTACATAATGATCTAAGGAAACAATATTGCAGAAAAGCTCATCCTATGATGCCGAAGTGAAGCCATGCCTGGCAGAAAGGGAAGAACTGCACTGTGACTTCAACAATGAGCAAGGAGCAATGTGGTAAGAGATGTGAGCAGGTATTGCTGGGAACCAGATCATACTGTTGAATTGTGCCTGCTAGGACATTATAAGGAAACTGAGATGCGGAGTAGAAGTGAAATACTCTGGTAGGCGAGATGAATGCCCAGGAGAGAAGAAAATGAAATAAGATCTGTCCAAGTCTACTCAACCTCCCTCTGTACTGAAGTATTAAGAGTGAATGAGGCGAATGGAAGTCCCGTTCTCTACCTGCTGACAAATACTGAACATGAATTATGTTTCTATTAAGGAGATGTTGTAAACAAGTGAAAAATCGTAAGTCTCTGAAAAACATTTCAGTGAATGGGGAAACCTCTTTTGAAGTCTTGAAGGCACCATAAACTTGTTTAGAAAACTGTTTAAGGAAACAAAATACGTTCTCTACAAACATGAAAATCACACTATGATATTCATTATTGGAGAAAGGCAAATACAATAAGATGACAAAACATTAGAGAAGATATATTTATTAAACATTTAAATTTGTGCCAGGAACTGTGTAATAAAAGCAATCATATTCACCATAAATATAGGGCATTTAAGAAAGTTAACAAGAACATAAATGCAGGAAGTGGAAGGGCTAGAATTCAAATATAGTTTTGTGACAAAAATTATCCTTCTGTTATAAACTGGATGTTTGTATCCTCCTGATACTCAAATGCTGAAATCCTACCGCCCAGAGTTTGGTGGTGGATCTATCAGATGATTAGGATGGAAGAGAGGAACCCTCATGGATTGGATAAAAGCTCTAATAAAAGAGATCCTAGAAAGCTTTCACCCTGTCTGTAAAGACACAGAAGACAGTGAAGATCTAGAAGCAAACTCGTAGCCAACACTAAATCTGATGGTGCCTTGTTCTTGGAATTTGGTCAATCAATCCTTAAAGATGCCTCTAGCTTCAATGTCAGAGTTATGACTATGTTTTCCTCTATGTACTTATGGATTCAGGTCTGATATCAAGGTCTTTAATCCATTTTGATTTGAATTTTGTACATGGCATCAGAAGGAGGTCTAAGTTCATTTTTTTTTTCTGCATGCGGCCAGCCAGTTTTTCCAGCACCATTTGTTGAAGAGGTTTTCCTTGCTTCACCTCATGTTTTTTGCTACTTTACTGAAGATTAACTGACCATATATCTGATGATATGTCTCTGGATTTTCAATTCTCTTCCACTAATCTGATGTTTTATCCTTATTCCAATACCATGCTATTTTAATTGCAGCATAGTTTTAAGTTGAGGAAAGTGATGCTTCTCATATTCTTTTCCCCAATTGCTTTGGCTATTCAGGGGAGGGGAAATTTATTGTTTCATATGAATTTCAGGAGTATTCGATCTATTTCTTTGAAAAATGTCCTGCATAGTTTTATGGGTACTGCAATGAATCTACAATGTGTTAGAGAGTATTGCCATTTTGAGGGTGTTAATCCTGAGAGAATTTTAAAGGTTTTTTTTTTGTTATGATTTTTTTGCCACACCTGTCCTTTGGAGCTCAGGGGACCATATATGGTGTTGGGGATCATCTGCATTTGTATGTTCACTGCAACACTGCTCACAATAGCCAGAATCTGGAAACAACCCAAATGCCCAAGAACAGATGACTGGCTAAAGAAACTTTGGTACATCTACACAATGGAATACTATGCAGCTGTTAGGAAAGATAAAGTCATGAAAGTTGCTTATAAGTGGATGGTCATGGAGAGTATCATGCTAAGTATAATGATTCAGAGACAGACAGACACAGAATGACTGCACTCATTTGTGGGATATAAATGAGACTGACACCCAAGGACAGTAGACACAAGGGCCAGGAATATTGTTCCATAGATGAAAGCCTGTTTCATGAGCTGAGGAAGAAGGCAGCTGGAATAGAGAATGGATCACTAAGTCGATGGTTGGAGGGATGGTTCGGGATGGGAGATGTGTGCTAAATGTAGATAAAGGACCAAAAGTGATAGCCTCTAAGTATCTATATTGCAAATCATAATGCCCCAAAGTAGGGAGAGAGTATGGGGGAAATTTTCTGCCATGGAAGCAAGGGGAGGGTTGGGATGGGAGGGGGGAATATGGGGACATTGGTGGTGAAAAATGTGCACTAGTGGAGAGATGGTGTTCAATCAATGTATGACTAAAACTCAAACATGAAAGCTTCGTAACTATCGCACAGTGATTCAGTGAAAAAAAAAAAAAAGAAATAAAAACAGAACAAAAAAAAAAAACCTGGGTCAACCGCATGTTAGGCAAAAGTCTTACCCACTGTACTATCTCTACAGCCCAGGAGGATTTTTTAAAAAGGTAGTTACAGATAACCCATGTTACATGTTCTTACAAAAAGTAAAAAAAAAAAAAATACAGAAAATATGTCAGTAGACAGAATGGTAATGAAATTCGCACACACACACACACACACACACACACACACACACACGATCCAATTAGATACACTTAGCCAGAACTTCCAACACCTTAAAGTAGCTGATCCAGATCTTTAAAAAATACAAGATAAAAGTAAAGGAACAGGTCCTTCATTTGAAAGGCAGAGAATACTGGAAGAATTAAGTGAAAATTTTAATTAAATTCGATTCCTTTTAAATTTTCATTTCATTTCTCTTTACTTTACTTCCTACAGTGGTTCTGACAGAAAATTGTTGGCCCTTTATTTGGATCATCAGCAAGGTTTGGGTCAATCTGACAGTGCTTAGGGCTTTACTCCTGGCTCTGTGATCAGGGATCACTCTGAATGGTGCTCGGGGAACCGTATGTTATGCTGGGGATCAAATCAGGGTCAGCTATATGCAAGGCCAAATACCTTATCCCCTGTACTACTTCTTCAGCTCAGCCCTTCATGAAAAACCTCTCCACTTGCTTTTTTTAAATCCAAATGCCACTGATCCTGCCATTTCATTTGTTTCAGTAGGCTCCCACTGAACTAAGTCCAGTATAATCCACTTATCAGACTTTTTACAACTCATCAATTCATAAACCTTATAAGAGAAAAAAAAACTTAAATCATTCTGAATGGGAGTGTTAAAACTTACTACTTTAAAGGAAAAAAAAAAAAAGAAAAAAGAAATAAGAAGCTTACCAAGTGAACCCAGAATGACCAGGATTGTTAAGATCCACACAAGTATTCTTGAAATATATCTGATTATCACCATCAAAATCATGGATAGAACTGCAGGGAAGATAAATAGAGAAAAAAATGGAAGATTACTCGAAAACACTGGAAAATAAGTAATAATAATAAAAAAAAATCTTTTCCACTGTATTTCCCTAGGGAAATAATTTGTTGCTATTGACAAGCTGATTAACCCATATTAAAGAAAGAGGGAAATGGGCTATGTTTGCACTTTGATTCTGGTACTTGTGTCACTTGAACAGCATAACTCGTAACCAAAGACACCTAACTGTGGGTTTATTAATGGCAGAAAATAAAACATGCGATGTACATGGTGACTCAAAAACAGCGCAAAACTGTTGTGGATTCACCACAGGAAGACACTGAAACTTACATGCAAATTTACATGCCAACTGAAGTGTAGACAATGACATGTTATGTCGGTGACAAGACAACTTAAGACACACAGATCAGATAAACAGGTGCTACACCTTTCTGCTCTGAAGGTTTTGGGATCAACTCCTCAACCATCAGTCTAAATACGCTAGATAGTATTTTATTTTTGTCTTGTTTCTCCTCTAAAGTTGACGGATGTTTTAATCCTAAGGAAAAATATCCCTTTGTCTTTTCAAATCAAAAGTCCCCTAACCTCTGTTTATAACTGGGGTTAGGAATTCTGACAGAGAAGATTTTCTAAAGGGAGTAAGACTGATTAAGTCAATTCCTATATTCACTTCAAGCTAAAGTATAAAATATTCCAAGAGAAAATTCTTTTAAAGTAATGATTTGCTCATTTTTAATTATATCAAGACCCATTTAACAAACAACCAAGTTCATGAGTATCAAAATAGAAACTGGATAGAAAATAGAATTTCAAAAGCTTAACAGTGTTAATATTCCTATTTTTAAGGGCTGGAATTTTTTTTACTTAACATATTCAATTATCTCAAAAGCCAAATGATTTTTTAAATAAAATGCTACACTGAGTCAACTTTCTTCGGACCATCTGCAAAGCCAAATAAATAGTTGGGATCTGTGATAAGGTAACATTATTGTTACTCTTTGCAATAAAGGAACCCCAAACCAGATTGTAGTATTTCAAATATCACAGAAATAACTTTTTATACGGACAGCATTATTTCAATTGAGTCACATACTAGCCAAGCAAAAATGAAAACAGTCTCTAATGACAAGATGGAAATATCGCTATTATATTCTCAATGACTAATTTTTGTTAAAGGCATAAATACTAATTTTACTTATATCTTGAACACTTGTTTTGGCTCCAACCAGTTAACCTCTTCCAACTAAAAATGTCTATAAACACTAAAATGGCTACAAACGTAGTCCTAGGGGTATCAGAGGGAGTTTATATCCTGACGGGAACATCTTTACTTGACTGCTGCATCTATTTACTGGTCAGAAAACTCAATGGCTAACAAGTGGAGATTTCCTAATTTTTCAGCAAGATAGCAATTTTTATAAACGGTACCAATGAAAATATTTACATATTTCAAAAGCAGTTATTATAAATCTGTGTTCTCTGACAGAAGTATATTTAAACAAAACTATATGGTAACTTATAAGTAAATAAATCTGAAATCGTAACTAAAACACAGTAGTGGTGCTGATTCACTTTGTAAAAGTCCATTTGAAAAGTCTATTTTATTCAAATTAAAAGGTATTATAGACTTAGTACTAACAAAGCTTGGGAAAACACCAATTATCTCCAATGAGTAAAAAAGAAGGGAAATGAGTTTCAGATAGATATATAAATACATATCTATTTAATATGTATATATTTATAATATATATTATCTGAAACAATTTTCTGGCTACAGGAAGTTAAACATTTTTACAAATATCCCCAGTTGTATTTATATTTTGGTTAAAAGACAGAACAGTCTTCTACTGCAGTACTATGCAAAATCTAATAATGAGAAAAACAATTACCTAGTGATAATAAGCAAAGTCCCAATATAATTTCTTTGCTGGTCATTACTCCACTAATCAGCCTGTGTAAGACACTATTGTCACTGACAAAGGTGATCAGGGCCTCTGCAAACTTGGCATAGCAGGAAATGTTCACAGGAGCACAGCGATGGAAGAATGGAATAGGTGCACTGGTGACACAAGAAAAAAAAATCAGAAAAAAAATTACTCCTACTTAATATAAATGCCACATCAAACACACAAATGAAAGGTGAATATGGTGCAATACACTCCACCCTCCACACATCATATGGAGCTAAGAGCTGTGCGCTTAATGCTATGAAGATGACGGTCATGGGGAGGGATGCAAATCTTACCACAAGCCTTACCCAAGAGGGTGGAGTGCATGATCCAACAGAAGACATTCCCCTCCCCTTCTGAAAGGAATCACACACACGTGTACACACACATACACAACATACAAAACTACCGAAAGCAAAACCAAACACTTAAACTCCTCGGCCTACACATCTATCAATCCACAGACAGATGACCAAACTTACATATACTGTATTGAACTGAAAATAATTTTTTTGCCATAAGCTATTTAAAAATAAAATGCACACATGCTTTTGCTTGAAACGTGCCACCATTAATAAAATATTTCTTTGATCAAATGACATCTAAAAACCTTCGATTAAAAAGGGTGTTCAGGGCACAAGCTCAATAATTCTCATATAAATAAATCATGCCAAGACATCAACATAAAGCGTAAAATGCAGCTACTTAAAGTGAAAACTATGAATACTAATGCATGGAAACACTGATGATGTCGTAGTAAAGGGGCAAAACAAAAATTTGTATCTAATGTGATGATTACATTACCATACAGAAGATATATACATAAGAATAAGAAAAGAAAGTATAAACCGGTGAAAATTTTCTAGTTAGGGAAAAGAGAGGTTCTGGGCTGTTTTATTTTTATATATGACTATTATGAGTTCTCTGTGTCCAGTAAAGAGGGAATCACTTATACCAAATCTGTTTTGCAAGCCACTTTTACTTGGGAAGGACACACACTGTATGTGAACTGTAACACCTGTCTGGGTTGTGGCGCTCTGGCTCTCAGCCTCTCTTAGCCTGGTACCTCTCTGGCCAAGCTAAGATTTTAAACAATGACCTATGTCTAAGCCCCCAATTATGATCTGAACTCTTAAGAGCGCTGACATGAACATCCTGGGATACATTTACACTTATGTATGAGTTAAGTGAAAACAGCTATTACTAACTGTGTTCTGTATTTGTGTAGCTGTTTTAAGTATTAATTGTAACTCTAACATAGCATTTTGACTGGAATTATATTAATGTAGTTCTATTCTTGGTGGGAGGCAAATTTTGGCCAAATTAGTGGGTCACATTAGATGGATTTCCACCAGATTCCAAGATTTCCAAAAAAACGATTTCATATGACCTGAAATTAAAAGTATTTTGTTTCCTTCATCAAAAAATACTTTTCAGTTAAGAATATAATCAAACTCATAACGATTTTCTTTAACTGTTGTTAAACTGGAATCACTGAAAGTAACAATAAGCAAAATCTTCCATGTTTTTAAATTTTGAAATAAGAAAATATATAATTTTATTATTATTTTTGGGGAGGCTCACGCCAAGTGATATTTAGGGGCTATTCCTGGCTCTCTGCAAAGAAGTGACTCCTGGTGGTAGTGGTACCAGGGATTGAACTGGAGTCAGTCACATTGCTAGACAAGTGTCTTGACCCCTGAACTATCATCTCTCTTGACCCCTGTATAATTTTAAAGATAGTTTTATATTACTCCAGTAAAATGTATATCAAAATAATGATAATGCATATACTATAAATATTCACTAAAGAAATGTATTTCTTGACATACTTTTGTATGTATGTACATTTATATACTTGTGCATAACTGTAATTTGCACATACACATAGCAGAGAGGGTAGGTCATCAAAGTTAATATTAAAGCTTTCATAGTTTATTAGAAACTACAGAAAGGAATGCAACAGATGCAAGCTATTTTTGATAAGAACTTGTTTTAATAATTATCTAAAATAATAAATCACAGAGTATTTTGGGGGTCTGGAAGATATGTTCCATTAAGTCGACTTAGTTAAAATTATTACAGAAAAAAAATGGAAAAGGGTTAACTCCAAGTTCTTAAGCCAAAGGGGACCAAAAAAAAAAAAACCCAAAAAACAAAATAAAACAAAACAAAACCCACCCCAAAACTCTGAACTGATATTTTTTTCAAGCTACTATTTAGTTTTTCAATGATAATATCCTGATAATATCTAGCCATGTTAATGTTTCTAAGGACAACTAACCATAATTATGGGGGTGGGGGTGCTGGGTGACACTCAGGTATGCTCAGGGCTTACTCCTGGTTCGGTAGTCAGAGGTCAGTCCTGATGATGCTTGGGGAACCATATGCGGTACCAGGGATCAAACCCTGGTTGGCTGCATGTAAGGCAAATGCCTTGCCCATTGTACAGTCTCTGATAAAGAGTCTGTGAACTCCAATTTTGAATACAGAATATACCCAACCTAAGGAACCTGATATCTTTTTCTTCTTTTGAATATCTACCAATTTTCTTGCACTTCTGAGTTCTTTCAGAAAATAGAAATTGAACTTTACTACATAGCAACGCACCTACATCTCCAATATCTTAACAAGATGATGATGCATTTTTAAACTAAAAAACATATGTACATCATTTCCAAAAAAAGAAAGGAGTGTAATAAAGAAGGAATAAAGCAGACTTGGGTTCAAAAGATGTGGGTGATTTTCCTCATGTTACCCAGCTGTGTACTGCCCCATTTCTGTCTTTCTCAGTTTCTTCATTAGCTGAAAGGGCAGGTGTTAAATCCTTTGAAAGTCTTTGCAAACAATAATAACAATAATCCCCATGTAGCAGCCCAGTACCTCTAATGTTTTTCTGCTCTAAATGTTAATAGTTTATTTGAAAAGCAAACAATCATACTCAAATTCTAATCTTTCATTTTTTAAGAGGAAATGTTGCATAATATCTGCTCTAAACTTTATTCAGGTTTGGGGCTGGAGTAACAGTGCAGCAGGTAGGATGTGTGCTTTGCATTTGGACAACCTGTGTTCAATCTCTGGGGCCACAAATTGTTCCCTGGAACTCGCCAGGAGTGATTCCTGAGTGCAGATCCAGGAGAAATCCCTGAGCACTGCAGGGCATGGCCTCCAGCCCCCTCCCCACCGCAAAAGAACTTTTTTCAGGTTTATACTCTAACTGCCAAACTGGAGAGATTTTTACACAGATCTTTCTGAGAATTTGAGCAAAACAATTTGAGCAACAGTCTCTAATAATTCAATCTATGTCAGTTAAAAAATAAAATCTGACAGGAGCTGGGCAGTTAGCTCAAAGGATTGGAGCATAAGTGGGTGGCATGGGTTCAATCACTGGCACCACATAATCTGATGAGCACTGCTGGGGAGCACTCTGGGAGGAGCCACTGAGCACTCCGAGTGGCCCAACCAGCCCCTTTGTTTCTTAATAAATTAAATAAACCCGATAGCTTTAAATTTGAAAGTATACAGTGAGCACAATCTGACAAGCCCTAATGTCTTACTGATAGCCCAAAGGGTCAAAATCTTTTAGTGGAAGGAATGACAAAAAACACAAAATGTAAACAGAAATATGAAAGAACACATATTTAGACACTGTATTAAAAAAATAAAATAAATATTTAGCTTAAAATTTCTCTTGTCATTTTCTTGGCAAAAACATTGTAAGTCATGAGTTTTAATACTTAAATTTATTTTATTATTTTTTAAAAAATTCAAGTTATTAGGGCCGGGGATATGGCTCAGTGGTAGAGCACTTGCCTTGCATGTGTGAGGCCCTGGGTTCGATCCCTGGCAATGCAAAAACAAAAACAACAAACCCTAAGTAATCACAGATTACAGCATTACAGCACTGAAATAGTTCATCTTAGTTTTTCCATTTAAATAATTATCATTATACCGTATAATATAATGATCTTAAGACAAATTCGCGGATTTCATATACTTCTCAGAAAAGGGTAGTAAGAACCTAATGTATGAGATCACTTCTGCTTTAAAATGCAACCTCAATGGCACATATCTATGCTTCTTAACTAAGAGAACAAGCATAAATAATTCTATTTATATTATTTTTCTCCTCTTTTAAGCCAACAGTATATTAAATCTTTAAGAAGTCAATGTCATTTCATTAGGAACCAAGGCTGTTTCACATTACTGAAATGTTGGTTAATAGAACAAAATGAATTTATAATGAATCTTTTATAGGTATTTTTCAAATAAGCCACTCATAGATAAATTGTACCTTTCCTTGGCAAATGTATTGTCCATTTGCCTTTAAGCGAAGAATGTCACAGTTATTGAGCTAACTCAAAGTATGATGACTATGTCATGTGCCTTACTAATAAGATAATTATTTTTGAATTTCAGGTCATAAATTAGCAATTACACATCATTTCTTTTTTTGTTTTGTTTCGTCTGGGGGCCACACCTGGCAGTTCTCAGGGAATTCTCCTGACTCTGTACTCAGTAATTACTCCTGGCAGTACTTGGAGAACCCTATGAGACGCCAGGAGTGGAACTGAGGTTGGTCACATGCAAGGAAAGCACCCTACCTGCTGTACTATGGCTCGGGCCCCATTACACATCATTTCTAACTTAAAGTTTTATTTAAGAACAAATAACAATAATACGGTGTATTATTGTGAATACACAATGCAGGAAACAAGCCAAGTGAAAAAATCTAATGGCACTATGCAGTGGTTTTCATACATTTAATTGTATTTTCCCCCTTTCTTTCATTTCTGTATTTCCTTTAAAACAATGTAGTGGATTCAAGACATCAGATTCAGTTTTGACTCCCAACAATTAATTGGGTGGCTCTGGCTAACTCACTTAACACTTGTAACTAAAATAATTAAGAGGTGGTTGGTACACAGTATATGATTTATAAATATTCATTTACCTTAAATCCTAGACAGTAGTTTTAGCATAATTTTACAATGTTATTTAGCACATTACACAGGCTAGCTAGTCTCCCTAAGGATATCCGCTTAGCACTTCAGCAAGAGAGTCATAAGTTTAGATAAAATATGACCCTTTCTAGGCATTCTTTAAAAGTTAAGTACTCTTAGGAATAGGAACAATTTGACAATTATGTAGCAGTCCACTAGTGTTTATAATTGCTTTTTTCTTGAAAAAGGTACTGCTGTGTACCCACAAAAGACTTCCTACACCATCACCCTCCTCCCCAACCCACCTCTGTCTTGGAGATTCTAGAGTTGAGAGAAACAATACTGTCATAGCAAGGTGCCAAGCATTCTAATAGACTTTAAATACACACTAATTTATTAACTCCACAAGAATGGTATTAACATTCCTTTTTTAAAAAAATATGTCAGAACTCTTGGTTTCTAGAAATATTTACAGACTGGTTCAAGTTGTCAACAAAGTGGTGACACAGAATTCACTCCAGTCTCATCTCGACTCAAAGTTCAGCTCTTCCTATGTAACTGGTATGCTGGTTAGAAGACAAAAGATACTGAAGGCCATCTTCAGTGGGTACACTGGTGACAGGTGTGGTATTGGAATTATGTGCATAAAAAACCATCATTAACATACTGCAAATCACAAAACTTCAATAAATAATAAAGAATAGAATATCCCAAGGATGGAGACTAGATCTTATTCATCGTTGGAGATCTGATATCTAATACTATGTGTGAAGTGGGATATTGTACGAAATATCTTAGATATTTTTAATTCATTTTCTGATTCTTTCACTTTGCTTGCCAAATACCAAATGACTCTCATAATTACAAGATCCTAATTTACATTCATTCTCTCTTTTACTTCACAATAGCTCAGCTCAGGTCGGACGAGAGTAGTAAATTGACAAAGGTGAAAGACTGTTCGGTATTAAGATAATTAAAACATGAGACTCTGAATATATAGGACAAACAGAGTATACGGCCCATTTTCAGATGTAGGTTGTGTTTTTGTGCATGTGTGCGTGTGTGTATGTGTCTGTTTTTCTGTCTCTATGGATAGTCACCTATGACAATCACCTAAGATAGTCACCTAAGATAATCAGGACTAGGTAGATCTCAACAGGATTGGATCAGCCCAGAGGCAGAGGAGGGTTTGAGGTCTCATCATGCCTCCAACCTAATTCTAACTCATGTCATATATTAACATGGTAATTTTATAATCATGCCAAGACTTCCTGATTATCCCTCTATAATACACAAATGCCTTAAAACAATGATTCTAGATGCATAAGTTTACTTTTAAAACAAGTAGAAAGGACTTTTCTTTTCTGTCACAGCCTCCCTAATGTTCTCAAATTTTATGAAGGGAATCTCCTAATCTATAGTTTGTGGTCCCTGTTAGTATCTTTAAATGGTTCTCTGACTTTCCTCTCCATAAGCTTTGAATTTTAAATTCAACAGCTTCTTGACAAGACTGAAGAACTGCAAATCAATTTATTCATATAACCTGTCTGCTTTAACAGAAATTCAAATTCAATTAAATAAAGCACAGTTATACCCATAAGGAATCCAAAAAAAAATAAATTCAAGAATCTCAGAATTTTAACCAAAAGCTTACCTACAAATTGATACAATAAAAGTGGTTTCAGGGGATTGGAGAAACCGTACAGTGGATAAGGCACTTGCCTTGCATGTGGCTGGCCTGGGTTTGTTCTCTAGGACTCCAGATGGTGCCCTGAGCCCCACCAGGAGTAATCCTAGAGCACAGAGTCAGGAGTAAGTCCTGAGCACAATCAGGTGTGGCCCAAAAACCAATAAAGCAAAGTGGGTCTCAGTTCTGTATTCCTGAAAAAGCTGCTTCATGTCATACATGGTTAGTGATAACATGCCAAAGTTCTAACAATTAGATATGTTCCAAATCATACACACCTAATGCCAATGATATATTCTACAAGTTCTGGGATTTATTTCCTGTAAAAATTCTTTTTATAATTTAAAATTTCCTTTTCTTATAATTATTGTGAGATACTTCCAAACAAAATTACATTTTGTTTTATATCGGTACCCAATGTGTACAGTTCATAGCTAAATGTATGTTGATTAAGGGCTTAAATAAGCCATGTCAAAGAGTTAAGAATAAAAAATGATCTGAAGGACAGAGCCTAAAAACTTATGAAGAATAATCACTGGCCTTTGTGTAATTTACAATCTCAAATATAAAAATTGAAAAAAAGAATACCAGGAAGTATTACTAGTACCAATCTCAAAGAATCTCTTGGTGATGATGAAACTTGGTTTCTGTGTTGGCTGCAGTTTTATAAACTTAAAAATTATGGCACTAAAAAAGCGAGCTCACAAAGAGATTTAAATATCTGAGAATGAAAATAGCTGTGTACTTCTGGGTATCTTTAAAAAGAAAAAACAACCCAACAAAATAGATGTAAAAGTATTGATCCTGGGCATCAGAGTATTGTGTAATTCTCTTTTTCAGAGCAAAACAGATTAAAACATGTACTGTTTTTAAAAAAATCTGCCTACAAAAACAAAAGTCATAAGTTAACAAAATACAATAAAGTTTACCTCGCAGGAACTGGTAGTTTAGGGCAAAGAACAGAAGCTTTGGAAGATGTGGTATACTCAGAAGGCTTGAGGTTATAGCTACATAGCGCTGAGCCTGTTGAAAGAAAAGTTATATGTCAACCAGCAGAACTGTGACCAAATTCTCATAGCAACTCATTTTAAATTTATGTTAACTCAATATACACCTTTCAAACAGAATTAGTCATATAATGATTTAGTCTACAGCATTAGTCTTTTATTATTTAAAAAAGATTCTTCCCCCAAATTTTACGTACAGATCTTAATTAGTATTATTAATAACCAATATTATATCTACTACCAGTGAGCATTTGCCATGCCCTATAGTTTGTCTCTGCGTGCTGTGTATATGTGAAAGAGTATATTTTACTGTTTCATATTTTGAGCACACCTGGCAGTGCTTCTGGCTCACTCCTGGCTCTGGACTCAGGGGACCATAAGAGGTGCTAGGGATCAAATCTGTCAGCCACGTGAAAGGCAAGTGCTCTAACTGCTGTACTATTTCTCTGTCCCAAGGGTATTTTTAAAGAATCAAGATTTTTTTGAGGATTGGGGGGATACCACAAGTGGAGCTCAGGGGTCCTGGGATTGCTCTTGGTGATACCGGAGGTCACTGCTCGTGATGTCTGGGCTGGTAGTTCAGTACTAGGGTTCAAGCAAGGATGTGGTGTTGCTTGGGCTCTGTGTTGACAGGGACCACCAGGGCTTCCTGGTGGTGCTAGCGGTCTCGAGGGCCACACCGGAAAAGCTCACGAGGTCCTGCGGTACCAGGGATCGAACGTAGGCATGCCTCTGTAACTGCTATACCATGGCCCCAAGAGTCTATTTTTAATTAAAACTAACCAAACTGCACACATAAATATTTCCAAACAAAACCCAAGATATATAAAATTTCATTAATTTTATTAAAGAAACAAAAGGCTTTTCTGGGAGGAGTGGCAGGGACTAGTTCCAGTGTTTCTGAGGGTTTGGCCAAGAGCAGCCCATTCCCAGGAATAGATGTGACCAACTTCTTGCTCCCATCCATGCCCATCGCTCACCATCCCCACTTCTCAACCCAAGAGGAGTCTGGAAGCAGGTAAAGAGTCTGTCTCCTCCTCCATCATGGTGGGGACTCTTAGAAGTTCACTAATGTAGTATGCCTCTGGTCCCAACCCCTACATAAATATATAACTTTATCATTTACTAGAATATTATGAGTGTAGAATTATTAAGCTCACTGTATAGAAGAGGAAATAAAAGGCTGACCAAAGGTAAATAGTTTGCTGGCTGACATTGGCTAGAGATGGAATTAAACCCTCTATTCTTTTTGAGTATAAAACCTACGCTCAGCTATAAATGCAATTTTTCCCATGTTTTCCATTACAAAATATTTAAAACTTAGTGCATATAAAAATATTTATCCAAATAATACATTGTTTTCTTTTTATTTAGAAAACAAACAACAGTAACTAAACTGATGAAATTAATGAATTGATAGCAGATTCAGTTTTCAGACTAAAACAGCTTAAGTTCACCTTTAGGCTGATTATACAAATAACCATTCGATCTCAGGTTGGTTATGCAAGTCATCCATTTCTGACTATATGGCATTTTTTATTTGAATCATGTGTCAGATTCAGTTGGCTACTGTCCACCATGTTCTTGACTGTCTCACTGGTCTGCTAATGGAATACAGCAAATAGAATTCAGCAAGGTTCACTGTACAACAGATATTATTTAGCAAAAATGATCCAAGCTCTAGCTCCAATTCTTTTGAAGATTTCCTGCGTTATAACATGTAAACTGTTTCCATTTTATTCAGCCCTACTAGATTGCTAATTTGGCTAAACACTTCATTATCAAATACAAAGAGTCTATTTCTGCACTTACATTACGTGGACTTTAACACTCAGCCACCAAGGAAAAAGTTTAAAATACAAAGGGAAAAATGGCATAGAGCAATTAATAATAAAAACATCTTGCGAGGATGTAAAAAGGAACTTAAAGGGACTATAGAGAAAAGATATGTCATGACAATAAAAGTGAGGGTGATTTTATTTCAATTATATCTGGAACTTTTCAGAAGGTCACAAAATTTCACAATTAATTCAGTCATGCCTCCCCCAGACCAGCAGTCAAGTGTCTACATATATAGACATAATAGCATCATTATAAAAAGCATGGTCCTATCTATTTTACATTTTATATAATGATAATTAAGGTAGCACAGCGGTAGGGCGTTTGCCTTGCACGCAGCCAACACGGCCGACCCGAGTTCGATTCCTCCACCCCTCTCGGAGAGCCCGGCAAGCTACCGAGAGTATCTCATCCCCACGGCAGAGCCTGGCAAGCTACCGTGGTGTATTCGATATGCCAAACACAGTAACAACAAAGTCTCACGATGGAGACGTTACTGGGCCCGCTCGAGCAAATTGATGATCAACGGGAGGGCCTTTACCTTTTTTTACAGTGAAAAATATTTTTAGTTGAACAAGTAAAAGGAATATTTTTTTTTTCTTTTTGGGTCACACCCAGCAATGCACATGAGTTCCTCCTGGCGGTGCTCAGGGGACCATATGGGATGCTGGGAATCAAACCTAGGTCGGCAACGTGCAAGGCAAATGCCTTACCTGCTGTGCTATTGCTCCAGCCCCAAAGGAACATTTTTTAACCCAAGGATCGGACTGCCATTAGATTGCAAGAAGGGAGTTGGTCTACCACATACAGACTGACTTAGAAGCAGGCAGCCTCACGAATGGTTCAGCACAAGCTCCCCAAGATCATTCACTTTCCAATGGGCTGGAAGGGGATGCAAAATATTTTTCAGCAGGTACTTAACCAATATAGGCCACTGTTAACGTTTCTTAAGCTGAAAAGAGAAACCGAGTTTTCGAAATTATTTCTGCTCGTTCTTTTTCATTTTAATAATTTTAAAGTTAAGCATTTAAAATCATCACCTCTCAAAATTTGATGACAATGTCTTGAGATTTCTGTGTCTACATATATAGACATAATAGCAATATGTATGGGCTGGAGCGATAGCACAGCGGTAGGGCGTTCGCCTTACAAGCGGCCAACATGGCCGACCCGAGTTCGATTCCTCCGCCCCTCTCGGAGAGCCCGGCAAGCTACCGAGAGTATCTCGCCCGCACGGCAGAGCCTGGCAAGCTCCCCGTGACGTATTCGATATGCCAGACACAGTAACAACAAAGTCTCCAATGGAGATGTTACTGGGCCCGCTTGAACAAATCGACGATCAACGGGAGGGCCTTTACCTTTACCTTTTTAGCAATATGTATATATGTGTATAGCAATTTTAGAGACAAATGACAACAATAACAAATATTTTAGATTTACCCTAAAACAGTTAAGAGTTTAATTATAGAAATATTCATGAAAAAAACAGCAATGGTGCCAATCACCATACAGCACCCAAGGGATCCTCAACTTCCTCATCTGAATTGTCAACTTATGTCTTTCAGGATCCAACATGGAATTGATCTGCACAGTATAAATGGCCTGAACTTGAGGTTGGGAGCAGTAGTACAGCAGGTAGGACACTTGCCTTGTACGCAGCCAACCCAGGTTCCATTGCAGGCATCCCATATGGCCCCTGAGTACCACCAGGAGTAATTCCTGAGTACAGAGTTAGTAGTAATCCCTGAGCACTGTCCAAAAACCAAAACCAAACAAAAAAGATCTGAACTAAAGTGCTTTGTGCCAAGTTATCAAACACAGTACTCCATCTGATTTCAGTGACCATTATCCCTCTTCCCCACCCTTTTATCACTTAAAAAGGTGGCATCAGGTGTAACAGAGTTCAATTTTATAAACACATTCCCAGGATAATGCTCAATGAAAGGATAATAGCCTTATCTCTGATGGTATTCTGGGACACAGGCCAGTGCTAAATAGATCCTGTACCAAATAGATTAAAGGAAAAAGACCTTCACAGGATGTTTGTTCATTGCAACAACCATAAAAAACCATGCTGCTTCCTGCTCATAGGGCTCATGGACAAAGAAGCCTCAACGAAGCATATTCAAACAATCCTGTAATAGCAAACATTTCATAGCTATTATTCTAAGGTATTTTCAGTGAACATTTTTAAGTGACTGCATCTTTTGCTTCTCTAGAAGTAAAAACAAAACTCAGGATACAATACTTGGTCATAAACAGAAGACAAAACAAAGGAAAACTATACTCAAGTGATAAAAAGACCGAAAAATAAAATAACCCAAAGCTTATCTTAACCACACCAGAGGTAATTCAGCCCCTGTTACTCAGAGGCCATCAATGTGAGTGACTTAAGTAACTGAATTTGAGTATATAGACATTGCTTGGTCAACAGCTGCAGGGGCCGCCAGAATGTGTAACATATCCAAGTAGTTTTTCTTCTGCTTAATATCACATATAACTCCTTCATAACCTCATCCAAAACAAAACAGATGAAAACCTAAGAAAAACTCCAAGGGGTGGAGGGAGGGCGGGGACCTTACCTTGCACATGGCCAACCCAGGTTCAATCCCCATGGGTCCCTGAGTGTTGCCAGGTCTAATTCCTGAGTGCAGAGTCAGGAGTGACCACTGAGCATCACTGGGTGTGCTCCCCCCAACCTGCCCCCATCAAAACAAGAAAAAAAAACTTCAAAGGGCTATATAAGCAATCACTGGCAAAATGAGCAACGTAATTCTCCACTCCTCAGACATTCCCAATCATCTTAACCAGGTAAGTATCCAGTAAGTTCCTGAGTAAAAATCGTGTTCCACAGAAACCTCAAAAACCTGTTGGGGATAAAATTCATCACCCATCACCCACTCTCCAAATTTGCTTGAGCATTATTCTCTCTACTCTTCCTCCCTCCTCCTCCCCCATCCCTCTCTTCCTCCTCTCTCCCCCTCCTTCCCTCTCTCCTCCCTTCCCCCCATGCCTCCCTCCCTACTTCCCTCTCTTCCTCTCTGCTAAGGGGGGCTCTGCCTGATCCCCATTTGGGTTGTGTGTGAGTGAGGGTTCAACATTCATGCTGCTAGGGACCAGCAGCAGTGTGTGTGTGGGGGGGGAGGGATCACCACAGCCACACCCAACAGTGCTCAG